GTTAACTACGCAGAAGAAAAGCGCGTGCATTGTGTGCAAAAATAATTTATTCAAACCCTGCATTTGACATTGACCTTGACATTGACCTTGACATTGACCAATCATTCTGACCAATCAGAATGTCTGGTTTGTTTCTTTCTTTCACTGAATTAACTCTCTCCTGCACTGAATTAACTCTCTTCTGCACTGAATTAACTGAAAACTGCATTCATCTTAACCAATCAAAACTGAGAAATTTTTTCATGTATATTATTAAATGGTAAACGAATTCAAGCTCACTGTCATCCATTTTGCACACCCAAACCCGATGCAGATCTGTGCATGCGCGTGGATGTACTGCTGGAAAATCAGGACTGGGCCACCAGGCCTCTGGGTCAGAGGCCGTTGCGGGCCGCTGGGCCTTTGGGCTGCCAGGCCGCTGGGCCGTCGCGGGCTGGGGGCCGTGGGTCTGCTTTTAGCAAAACCCACATTACAGAGACTTTAATCCAACAATGTTTGGGACAAATCAGGAGTAATGTCTATATTCCAGTAAAATATGTATCTGCACCAAGGCTGAACCTGCTGTGGCTGATTTAATGATGAGCACCAACTCCAGCTGGGATGGAATTACTTTCCAAAAGTTTGCTGCTAATTAAGCAGTATTTGATGACTAGCCAAGGAACATCAGTAGGAAAACCAGATGGGTGGTACATTAAGGTATTGGGTTTAATTAAAATTGGAAACTAAAATAGATAGCAAGCTCAGAAAATGGCATATGTTTAAGAGTTTTTTTTTTCCTCTCCCCTTTGTCATTATGAAATAAAGTTTACGCTAATACTTTTTGCAGTTTTCAAATAGTACAAGTTGGCATGTACTGATCCCTTGATCATATGTAAAGCAACAACTGTATTTGCTCAACAAAGTCAAGTGATATTCTTTCAGTGCGAACGATCTATTAAATTTAACGACTATGTAAACAGCATTAGTCCCAACAGTATACTACTCTTGTATCAGCAAAAATTATCAAATCTTATAAATGCACGCACAATAACCTCCGTCAATTACTGTCGCTTTCTGAAATTGTTTATACGCATTCATTGAAACAGCCGGAAAAGGCCACAAAAATTTTACGTAATATTCGCGTGGGCATACATTCCCTAATATTTGTAACCACAGTATTCATACCAATGGGAATTTCCACGCTTTACCATTGAAATGAGTAACACAGAATTGTAAACAGTAGGCAGTCGGCCGAGAAACGGCAAGGGGTATTTCATAGTTAATTGGTGTAAACAAGTCATGAACTTTATAAACTTACAGGTGCAATACCTTGATATGGCAATGTCAGGAATGAAACTACACACCCATCAATCAACCGATATTTTCAAAGTACAATATTGACTGCTTACCTCAGCGTCAATACTTGTTGCTTTCGACACTTTCTTTTCTTTTCGAGCTGGTTTTAATTCCGGTTTCTTCTCCTCCTCCGCGGCAATCTCATCGTCAATTTCTTTCTCCAGTTTGATAAGTTTTGGAGGTTCTATTCCATAGTTTGCACGCACTCTGGCAATTTCTAGTAGACACAATATCACTTCTCTAGGTTGTTTCTGAAGAACAAGCCCGTCCGATTCAAAGAGAACTGAATCTTCAACCTCGATCTGCCGACACCACTGCAAGAAATGCGCTGCATTGTCCCGAGCAAAAAATGTACCAGCTTTGGCCTTTTGGTGAAACTTGTAAGAGAACGGGGCGAGTGATTTTACTGATTTCCCAGACTTTATGCAGTCCTGGGCAGCCGATTGTACGATCTGAGCAAGTTTACAAACCAGGACACCGTTATCTAAACAATCAAATAAATTTTCGGCGGTAATTTGTTCTTGCAGAACTCTCGATAGCCATTCCGCAAGGTCTTCCTTCAAAGGCAACAGATCCTGTTCTGAGCGCTCGGCAATCTTCGAAGTCAAATCCATGTCAGCTCTTCCTCCTTCCTCTTGCATGCTTGCTCCCAGTAATAAACTGAGAAAATATCGTTGTTAAACAATATTAATCACAATTTAAGCCAACATTACGATCATGCAAGACTAAATTAGTCCGTGATGTAAACATCCGTTAGCTGATGATTTGAAGTGTTTAAGTTGCGCAGGCACTTAGTACTTCTCCAATGACCTCTAAAAACTGAAATTAACATTAACGTTGGGCGCTGATGTTTCTATTTCCTGAAATACTTCCTTGCATAATGCTGAATCAGAAAATGTAAATTTTCAAAGAGGGAAAAAAATTTTACTTTCGTCCAGGTTTCACCGTCGTCGTTACGCTATACTGACGCGTGCGGTTTTGGCGGGAAATCGCGGGCTCTTTAGGTAAAAATTGACCAATTAGGTATCAAAGCTGATCCCTTAGAGGAAATTTTGAAGTGGACGGCACTGGACTACAGGAACAACAGACTTGAAACCAAATTACTGTTGTCATTTAACTCAAATTTCTGCCTATCCAGATAAGAAAAATGTATATTTGATAAAAATAATTTGTATTCTTTCAGAGAATCTTAAAGATGCAAGTTATTCTTTTCTTGATTACGAAATAAATTCCCAAATTTTTAATTACCATCACCACATTTTAACATTCTACATGTGATTACGTGCCTAAAGACATAGAAATTCTGGGCTGTTTTCATATCAATACTCTTGGCTTTACTAAAATTTTTCACAAACTTATCCTGATTCGACCACTCACTAGGCGTAAGGTAGTTCCTTAAAACATCCCAAAATGTCTTTCAGTGTTCTCTTTTCTTTTTCTTAAGCACAAAATAAAGTGTAGTTCTCCCCCGTAAATTAAACTTTCCTGGCATAACAAAGATGTTTTTATGTGGGATCCGAATTTTTTTGTTTCCCTTGCCACAAGCAATTGCTATTGTTTTGAATGCTTTGGCCATTAGTTTGTATGAAAAACACACCCACACAATCGATACCCCTCACATGACGGACTCGGTTCATGTTTCTCCCGCATCATTCGCCGTTTTACATGTGAAACCTTATTGAAAGGGGTTTTTAACATTCCTGTGACTTGGGTAATGTGAAATCTGATCATCAACGACTGGAGAATGAAGTAAGTAACTTTTACTCGATGCCCAGATTATCGATTATTGAGCGCGCCGTGAGGCGCGTAAAAATTCAATGACCAGGTACATGCAATAACACTGACAGAGAATATTATGATGGAACAATAGAGGAAAACTGGGCCATGAGGGGTTATCAAAATATTTCTATTTGCGAACCTGTTATGAGAAATGTATTCGATTTTTATGTGACCAATTTTTCATGAGTCCAAATTTCTCACATTTTCCCATTGGTTCTTCTCATTGTGTCAAATGACACGCTAGATATCGTCTATTAGTAATAAATTGGTTTTATTCTATATGATTATTCTAAGATTTGATTTGTGTATTTCAACGTGAAAATTGTTTATTTTTCTTGCTTGAGCTGGTTTTTTTTTTTTTTTTTTTTTTTTTTTTTTTTTTTTTGCTTTTTTCTAATCAAGCCTATCGAAACTGTGAACTTTTTTTCTTGTCTAGTTAAGCCGAAAATTGGAGTCGCCTCCGAGACTCAAAATTAGCCCTAGCTGAATATTATTATCAAGTATTGATGACTCAGTTCTTTTTTATGAAAACTATTGTTTCTCCTTGACGATATGATGACGGAATGAAGTTCTACCAATTCTTATCTTGGTAAATATGTTTACCCGATGCAGAATATTAAATGGTGCTTTAACCCATTCAGTTGTTTTACTTAATTCTAGCTACAAATGAAGGAGGAATTAATCCCCTCGAATGTCGTCAGAGACTTTAAAGGTTTTCTTAAACTGCCACATAGTTTAGTTTGCGCACCATAGAAAAAAATAAAATAAAGGTTGTATACTGTGAGAAATTATCTTATCTGACAAGTCAAAATTTGTATTACAAGTAACCAAAGCGTGGCAATGAAACTGACCGATAAAACAGACACTGATAATCAATCAATCTTCATTCCTTTCGGCGATTCCACCCATTTTCGCAGTTTAATTGAGGGATTTATCGGGTCTTCCCTCACATGAATTCTTTCAAGTTTTTTTCTTTTTTTTTTTACCTTAGCAGTTGTTAGCAATGTTCTGAAAAGTCATCCAGCTAAAGTGACTTGGAAAATATTTTTACCATAGGCAGTCTTTATTAGCGTGGGACTCACGGGTTGTTCAGTTGTCACTGTTGATTATGAATAATCGCCATTTTCGTGACAAAGCAGGTGAACGCAAGCATTCAACCTTTCCACACCCTGCCCCCCCCACACACACACACCCACACATACACACACGCAATTCGCGATGTTGTCACAGCTGCAATTCATTTTCACAAGATTATAGTTGAAGATCAAATTGATAAAGTTAGCTTTTTGGTTTGTTAGCATGTTGACGCTTATCTTTACTTTTCAGCTGAAGGTTGGCTGTCCTCGCATATTTTTTCATTCTCACAAGGATTTCTTGGGGAAAGGACGGTAGGTGTTACACTACATCCACGCATAGTTAATAGAGGTCGCACTACTAACTATAGTCCACGCAATTTGAACATGTCTGAGCAAATTTCAACGGTACTCAGTAACTAGGCATGAAGCATCCATCTGATTTCACAACGTGGGTATTTCACGAAAACGACTCGCATCGAACTTTCATTTCAGTTCGTTTCAATTTTCCTTGCTCACTGGAAAACAGACCTCGCGTTTATGGACCAGTATAAGAGCACTTTTGATTCTCTGCTGAGGCAAATTTCAACAACTGAAAGTCTCGCAAGTTAGGGAAGAATCGGTCCTGTATTTTCCTTCGACCGATGAGATGCACGAAACTGGAGGAGGACTGGGGTCCTAAGATGCCCTTGTCCCTCCCTTTATTCGATAACACTTTGTGATAAATCAAAAACATAAAAATTTTGCAATTCAGGTTTGTGAAAATGCCCGAATTCGAAGAATCCTCGGGGTATAAATCTCTTGGGGTGCCAGACATTCCGTTTACAGGTCCTTCCCGGTACAGTAGCGGTGTAAGTCGCTACACTTCAGGTGCGCAGAAATTCGTAACTGTTAGCTCCCTTTGAAAAAAGCCAAGTGCCTGTGTAACCACAGGCGTCCCAAGCTCACGTCTCGAGGAAAAAACGAAAGATTATTTCTTGAAAGCGTTACGCGTCGTATGACGCGGTGTAAGTTACGCGAGGAGCCGTAAAGAATTTGAATGCGTTAGAAAGAATGGTACAGGCAGCGAAATAAGGTCCGTTTACAACACTAAATATTCCGAAATATGAACATTTTACACTTAACATTGATAAAACTGACTCACTTCTTGTGTATCCGTTGTATTTTTTGGCGATTTCCGCCGTTTTGGGCTTGCTTTGCCATCACTGTTTTTCCTGTTATCAGACGAAGTCTGAGCACCACATACTTACTGAGCTGTCGGGTGGGCATGCGAGTCTAAATACGCAAATTAGCAGCGTAGAAGCAGGAAAGCATGAAGAGATATCATGGTGAATCATTGCTGGTTTTGCTTCCAGTTCACTAGTATTTCGTCCAAATTATAATTAAGGAAATAAACAGACAGAACGGTCCTAGTATCCATACAATGGTATCGCGAAAGTCACGTTATTGAAAGATAAAGTTCTCTATAAGCTGTCAATTTGTTTCTCTCTTTTTTATCAGTCGTATTAATTTCCAATGGCTTGATGTGAAAAACCTCACCGATGATTTGAATCTTTCTTAAAAAAACAAATTAAAAATCATCAGTAAATTACAAACAAGGAGCGGCTTGTATCCTGTAATACCCACCTTAATATTTTGTCCGCCGGAAGTTACAAAGTCCTTCCGATCCAGAAACAAGAGACATCCGAACTTGCTATCAAAATTATCATAACAAAGGAGTCAGTAGTTTCTAAAAATTAAGGTGATCATGCTTTCCGGTAAGAAAGCTAAACACTATAAACCTGACCTTTATCTTATAATAGATTCCGCCGATTAAACACACCGTTGATCATATGGTAGTTAAGGTCAGCCACATGATCGCCTGTTCTTAAATCATGGGACACGTACCTCAGACCTACTGAAAAGATACGATAGACCCCCGCTAGCTCAAACTTCTAAGGGAATGGAAAAATGGTTCGAGTTAGCGGGGTTGGTGTTGACTTTCAATTATCCCATTAATTAGCTAGGTGTATTATGTTTTCATAAGTAAATTTCACGTTTGAATCAATCGCGATTTAAATAGACGGAAGTTCTACAAAAATAATGCTGACTCTTTGTACTTCAACTGCTACAATATGCGTAGCACTTTCACCACTGGTGGCTTGGTGAGAGCATGGCCAACGTTAGGTACCAAAGTTCTATAACTATAAAGAAGCTAATCCGCTCAGTTTGGATCATGTCTGATTCAGATCTAGTGACTGTATGTCGTTTATGGTACTGACTAAGAGTTCGACGAAATTGTTTAACTGCCGGAACACCAAAACTTCCATACAAAAGAAATCGTATGGATACAATGTAAGAACAATGGTGTATCAAGTGTTAAGACCAGAAATAAGTCTAGCAAATTTCGACCTTTTGCAAAGAAAGTGTGCCATCTATTAAAATACGTACTCGGCCACACTTAAGGACAATCATGAAAACACAAGATGGCAGGCTACGTTTGATTCAGTCAAGAAGTTTATTGAGAAATTTTTTGACTTTGCTTTTCGTCCAGAGAGAAAAGCTGCCGAACACTCTGTTCTCCAAAGGCTAGAGGACGCAATAAAACTTCATCGTGATGACCGAGGACGAGCAGTCATAAATCCCGCCTCGTTAGCTCTTTTTATGACAAGCTCTAGGGAGGGAAACAAAATTCGAATCATTAGAGAAGCGAATGGTAAGCCGGCATCGTTTCGCGTTGAGACTAATACCATGGTCATGGTGTTTCCCGTCTGGTGAGAACAAAAACATTATCTTTCCGTAGTTTCATAGCCAAAACAAATACAATCAGTCACCTAACCAAAGATATTGCGATATATATTTTGTTATTTACAAGTTTCATGAAGAACTGTTAGTAGTCATTTTACGTCGTGGAGGGAAGGGAAAAGGGGAGGTATATGGGTAAGCTGTACCTTAAACAATTTTAAAGTCGGAGATTTCGTCGCTTCACCCTGCCCCCTTACTTTTTCATGCCGATTGGCTCGCATGAGCATCAGGTTTGCCAGGAAGATTTAGATCTCTATGCTGTGAAAATCACCGGCTATTCCATTAATCTTCTCAATGTCCTGAAAGTTAAGAAAACAAGCTGTTGACTGAGAAGTCAAGACCAGCTTGTTGGTATATGGAAGTTAACTGGGGAAGTAAGTGGTTGACATGAATATTACCATAAATATCATTTATTGTATATGTGTGGATGGTATTATACGCCGGTTGATATAACAGGTGCTACATTCAGTATATTGAACATTTAAGATTTTATATCTCAACGAGCGTCTAAATAATTTGGGCCTAGGAGTGCGTGATACATTATTTTAATCTCCTTACACACAGATCCATGTCTAGGGAAACGTAGTCGTTTAAAGGGAGGAACAAAACGAAACCTTACAAGTAAGAACCAATGTAACCGTGAAAATTTGTCAACTTACATTAATTGGTCTCCAGTATTGACAGAACTTTTTTCTCAACCAATTATCCCGGCAGCTCTAGGGGATTCCTATGGTCTGGGGGATCAGTCTATTCAGTTCACAGTTCCAAGTAAGTTAACTATCCAGTGTTTACTTTCAAAGAGAACTCGGAGTTAGCGGCTCGTAGTGGGACAGATCTTCTTATGGCTACTTTGATTACTGAATACTCGGCTTTATTATAAGAAGAACAATGTCATAAATTTAGACATTCTGTAAAAATAGAGGGCCATTTACGACACTAGCTGTTATACTAAGGGTTTTAATTTGCAACCGATATTACGAAATAATAAAAGGCAATAAATAAAAGGGTGCGTCTTTGAGAGCAGTTTGCGTTGCAGACTGTAATGCAAAATATTGTAATCATTTCCACGATTATAACACCATTTCTATATTGACATGTATTCCCATATTTTTCAGCCACATCTCCCCTTAACGATGTTATCTGTCCGGGCGTGGCTGGGCTCCCCTTAAAAATTGTTCTTGGTGTGAAACCGGTAGCAAATTCGAAGCCAACCTCAGCGGCAACGACCAAAATAACGGCAGCCACAGTGAAACTGACTACTCCCACAGTCAAAACAGCAGTGGCGGCAGCTAACGCAGCGGCTGCTGCCAAGGCAGTGGCTAACTCTAAGGCTGTTAAAGCTGCCAAAAAAGCAGTCGCTGCAGCAAAAGTAGCGGCTACTAATGCTGCCGCAAAAGCGCAAGCAGCTGCGAATGCGAAGAAGGTGGCAGCTGCTAAGGCCGTGGCTGCTGCGGCAGCGGCTACCAAAGCTAAAGCTGCTGCAGCTGCTAAAGCACAAGCTGCGGTCAAAGCAGTGGCAGTAGCCAAGGCTGCAGCAGCTGGGAAAAGTGCAGCTGCCGCTAAAGCTCAAGCAACAGCAAAAGCGGCAGTTGCAGCTGTAGCAGCAGCAGCGGCAAAGAAAGCAAACGCTGCCAAGGTCGCAGCATCAACTGCAGCTGCCGCCGCCAAAGCTCACGCGAAATCAATTCAGCAAGCAGCACAGGCAGCCAAAGCAACAGCAGCGGCAAAAGCAGCCGCTAATGCCAAGGCACAAGCAAATGCCAAGGCGGCAGTAGCTGTTGCTAATGCAGCAAAAGCCAAGGCGGCTAATGCAGCAAAAGCTGCAGCGGTCGCTAAAGCAGCAGCCAAAATAAAAGCTGCGTCAGCCGCGAAGGCTGCATCCGCAGCAAACAAAGCAGCCGGAGCTAAAAATAAAGCAGCAGCCGCAGCAGTGGTAGCCAACGTTAAATCGTCTGCAGCAAAGAGCGCAGCATCAGCCGCCAAGGCAGCAGCTCAGGCTAAATCAGCTCAAGCAGCTAAGGCCGCTGCGGCAGCCAAATCCGCAGGTAAGCCAACAGTGGCTCCGGTATCATTGGCGACTCCATCAGTGACGTCGTCTGGAACTGGAGTGAAAGCAGCAACAAAGCCGACCCTGTCTACAAAGCCTGGAGCCGGTGGCACCACACCAACAACAGCCGCCACCGCCAAGCCAGGGTCAGTTGGAAATAAACCAGGTGCGTCTTTGTAAAGTAGTGAAGTATGACAGCGGTCTCTCTAAACAAATACAGTCAGTTGCGCCTTGCGTAGATACATGTGTTTGTTAAAATAACACTTAGCAGCTGAGAAGCTGCACGTATACAAAAAAGCTATGATAAATAGACAGACAAACATTAAAAGCTCGATATAAGGATAATGATAACCCACCACGAAAACGTTTAGGTTGCAAAGTAAAAAGCCGAATGCGGAAGAAAGGTAATACAAAATTATAGGGAAAGCAATGGAATTTTTGGAGCATACCATGACACATAGGTAACTTTTCTCTCTTTCTGTGGAAAGGTTCTCGTCAGAAGTCGTTCAATGCAGTAGTGAGATTACCTAGTGCTGCACACAAGCCTGTACTCAACAATAAAAAATCAGCACAGTTCAAGACACTGGCAAAGAACCTCTGTACTAAGGTAACATATCAATAATGACCAAAATTTCTGCGAAATAGCTTTGGTTAATATTAGTATGCAAGAAGAGCTTGTAATTGTTTATTAGCTAATTGTCCAGCCACGTTGATTTGCAAGCTAAGAATTGTTTTCTGCGTCTTATACATTATTTCAAAAGTTGCACCAGCGTGCCGCGCGCTGTTTCATAACTTTCGTTTCTCCCTCCGAATCAACCAACTGAGCTTGAAGCGTGTAGAATAGTCTTTTTTTAACAGCGCGAATCAAAACATTTCTGACGGCCGGTCATAACTTGAAACATGTTCACGCACGCTCTGTATAAGCTGACTTTATTAATTGTATGTTACCTAATTTTTAATATTTTAAAAGTATGTTATCATTTCTTATATATTTCTTAATATTGTTGCCGGGTTGCAATGTTTTTGAAATAAACTATCTATCTATCTCCATCTATCTTGGGTCCAAATGCTTTTTTTTCCTAGGTAAAGTCAGCTATCCAAGGGGGCAAGGCTGTCAAAGAATGCAATGTTCAAAGTTTCCGGTAAGTGCCGTTAAGGGGAGAACAGAGGCGAACATTAAACATTCAAAATTTGGATAGTTATATGCTTACAGCACAGATGAAATGTGTAAACAGCTGTTTTGAGAAAGGTTGTCAGAAAAAAGGACAAAAGTGCACGCAACAATCTTGAAAAGTAATCTGTGTATCCGGTATTCAATGAATTTTGTTAAGTCAAATAAATAAATTCATCAAACCTGCCCTGCTTCGTCCTGACAGTGACATTTTCTCAGATTTCCCTGAAATCGTGAGGTCAAGGAACCGTGACCTAAAAACTACCGACAATAACATTTGAGGTTGCCGCGTGCGTTTTTAACGTTTTAAACGTTTTTTTTTCCGAAAAATTTTCTCGAAACAGCTACGTATTCTTCCAAAGCTAATGCATGTACACGGCCACTTGCTATTTTTGATCATGTTGGAATCATACCAGAGATAGGACAACTCTGTGAAAATCGAAACAGTGCGTTTCTACATGTCAGTACTGAAAAGAGAAAATCCCTTCTGGTTTTTATATGAGCACCAAAAGGCCCGATTGACCCTAAAAAATCATAGGCTGAATAGTCGTAAGCAGAACTTGATCCAGTAACGTGTAAGTCGAGCGTTAACACTTTCACTCTCGAGTGATCAAGACAGAATTTGTCCTTACAATATCAATACAATGACAAGCAGACAAGTGTTAGAGAAAAATATCAACAAGGGGATTTTATGTTGATCCAATACCAAATTCTCCAAACTTACCTGATAAGAATTGTATGGCAGACAGTAAGGAGAATTACTGATGAGATCCGTGGCAATGAAAGGGTTAAAGTATTTTGAAATGCATTGAGTGGAAGCAATGTATATCCATGCTACCTCAGTACGATTTCCTAATTGGTTCAGATCACCATACTCAAGAGCGCTTTTCGATTGAATATCGTTAAACCAAATCCAACGTGATCACAACAGCCAGTCAGAAGAAAGGAAAATACCTTTAAGAGCCGATTAGAACTCAAAATAAAACCCACCAAACTGCCTAAAGCGCGGGAAAAGATCCAGGAAAACGCGCGCGATCAAGTCGTGATTGGTTTTAGTTTAGCGTTGAGAGAGTGTTGCGAGTTCTCTGGACCATTAAAGCAATCAAGGCTATTCTGGATTAATTTGGACACTGAAAATTGCTCTCATATGCATTGATAATACGAATGTAATGAAATTTGATTACTTCTTGTTTTTGTTCTCTGGCAGTCCCGGCAGTCTTCTCGTAGATTTCTACCTGAGGTTCTTAAACACCATACCTAACCCCGTGCAACTTTTACTAAATTTACTGAAAACTGGATTTATGGGAGGAATTCCTGTTGATAAATTACCACTGAGACTATACAATGGGACGGGTGAGTAAATTGCTACAAGTTATTACAATTTCTGATTAGTGGTACAAGAGTGAGTCGGTAGAAAAGTATGTATTCGATGTTTAAACATAAACCGCCTATAATGAAGACAAACGGAAACAGACAACAGCAGAAAGAAGAAGTGTATGTAAAACCAGTCGGAAGTGTATCGTCAAGAATTTTGTCAAATGATAGTAATTCTCTGTCGGTAACTTAATTGTTTTGAAGGCCGAAATTACAACAAAGGTTCAATGGTTAAGTGGTCCCTTTTATACTGGAGTTAGAACTATTCTCGTCAAGGAAGTAACTTCGTGAAACTACCTTCCGGAGCTAACCGTGGGTTAAAAAAATTTTGCTTTTCTGTCTTTCTTCCACAGGAGTTAAGTTTCCACCTGGTTTCTCAGGCTGCAAACCCGCAGGGTGCCCAGTCCCTTGCACACCTCCTACATGCAGCATTGCTTGCTCTACTGGGAGTCCGTGTAGTCCTCCTGCTATCATCCAACCCGTCGCCCCAACTCCACACGTCATGGTGGGTCCTACAATTCCAGCGATACCTGTGTCTTATCCCGCTCCTCCTGTTTACGCTCCAGCACGAGCCCCTTATCCAGCTCCTCCGCCCATGCCCCCTCAGCCCGCCTGCCCGGTGCAATGCTTACGGCATACACCACAGTTCTGCCCGTCTTACTGTGGGAAGGGCTGCTGTCAGTCAAGTTTTCCTTCATATACGGGAAAGAAAACTGACGTGAAGAGACCAAAAAGGATCTTGTAGTCGACTAACGAAAGGCGTACTCGTCGGAAGACGTAAAAATCGATACCCGCTCAAATTTAATGGGGAAAAATCGTATTCCAAGAATATTAGCGCTCATCCTTCCTTCACTTCTCTTCTGGGATAGCTGACCGAGAGGAAACAAATCATGTCTACTATGTAACTAGAACTTTATAGCTTTAAATGATGATGGAATGCAATAAGTTATCAGTAAGGTAGCTGATAATAGTTTAATTTGTAGGTATCTCGCTCAGACATGATTTCCCTAGCGGAACGAGACCACGCAACGTTCAGGCGGGAAACTGGGCTATAGGCATCAAAAACCCAGTCAAATCATTCACAATAGACAACTAGACTGTCGATGGTTATTGTAATATAAACGGGGTTATGGATTGATATACAAGGACAAATACTTAATAGCCGTGCGGACGGTTTAAATACGTCATTAATCGATCAATACCTAATTTAGTTAATTCATTGATTAATTAAAGGAAGGAAGAACCAATCAGTAGGTAATGAAATTACCATCTGCAATCAATTCCTGGAAACAAAAGTGGTTTATCACGCTATTGAGTTATTCTGTATAGTCTGGTTTTGTCACCCTGAATTAGCTTATAGAAGACAGACGATGCACAACGTAGCGATGCTTCCGGCTCGCGCATGCGCTCTTTAACCTTTACTGAAGACTGGTCCTGATCGTCGTTCCGGTTCAAACCAACACGAAGAATAAAATCATTCGTAAATTTTAGCACTTAATCAAGATGTATTTGAAACCACGCTGATTGTATGAATGAACTACTTCTACTCGAAGTAGAATTTCTTTTTATTATTTAACTCTTCCATTACTTATCAAAATCTGTGACGATTAAAACCAGTGTACATGCCCAGCTTGGAAAAAAGTAGAGAGGAACTGGGAACACCTGTCATAACAATTTTGTTTTCGGCGTAATTGTCTACTTTGTTAGGGGGGAATTGAACTAGTACGTAAGCAGGCATCATCAAATTGTTCGGAGCATGCAAAACAAAGAAGAAAAAAATTGCAGGAGGATTCTGGCGCGAAGACGAGCGTGACGAACGTACTGTTATAATTAAAACAAACACATAATCTGTGGTTGGAAAACGTTCGCAGGCCTATTGCGAGCTTTATCTAATATTTTAACGGATAATTGACTAAAATGACGTTCGGCAGGACGTCAAATGAACTTTGTGTTTTGTTCCGTTAGACCTAAGTTTCCCTAAACGTCACACATATTTGCGAGCAACTCTTTGAAGCTACGTTTCAAGCTGTTTTTCTTGACCGACGTTAGCAATTATTGTGAAAAACGAAACTGAATATGGTTTTTAATTAACGCTCATATAAAAAGATCAAGACATTTAGGTTGCAAATTTTTAGCAACTTCTGGCGTGAACTTGTTGGGGGAAGGGGGTCTGGGGCCATCCTTCCCCAGAAATATTTTGAAATCTAGTGCCTCTCTCCATGAAATATTTTCTGACGAAAAATTTCCGCCACCGAGTAATATTCTCCATACAGTGGTAACTAACTTTGCCCAGGAAATCCAACCTCATTGCGATCGCGGGGGATAATTTGTAGTGAACCGAGCTTTTTACCTTTTCTTCCTTTTTTATTCTTCATATGTACCTCATGCTAACACAAAATAAAATGTCGTTCTCGCAAAATTGTAGGGGCTTACGCCCCCCACCCAGTTCCGCCGTCTTTGTCAGTAAAAACTCAGACAAACGTCGCAATTTGAAGGCGAGTTTCATTCCTCTAATTTGGATTTTTCATAGAGAATTAGTTTGAATGATCTTTCCTTTTTTTTCTTTTTTTGTTAAGTGCGCCTACTTGTGGTTCATATCCTTCCCTTCACTGAAATTGAGATAGATAACTTATAAGACATGCCATTTGTGGTATGTTAGTTTGCCTGGAAAAACGCAAGAAATAGCGCACAATGTCATCAGAATGGTAAAAAATACTTTTATTCGACTATCCTTGTGTAAAATACAAAGGCAAACGGAATACATTTTTAAAGCGAGATGATTTTCTAAAAAACGATCTATTCTAAGAAAGGATATAAATTACCCGCGTTTAAAAATATAATAATCATATAAACTATGGTAAAAACAGTAAACGGCATGAAGGCTCTTCTCTTCCCTCTACAAGGGGAATTTGACTCTGTCGAAAAACACTTAACACTACAAATGAAAGCATACATTATCTGTCGCTCTAAAAGTGAAAAAAAAAAAAATACATATCGATAAAAATTCGTTTTTTCGCCAAAATAAAATAACATGCACTTATATCGTTCCTACAATTTGAATCAACAACTATGTTGTACTTTAAATTACCTTTTGTTCCATAAGAAGTTTAATGTAAGCCGCCATTTGAAAACAGTAACTTCCTCTGTCAAGTTTCAAATTAGTGAATAGCATTCAATCTATCTTGATTGATAACAGAGCAGTGATACTGAATCAAATTGTTTACATAAAATAAGAACCACACTTTCGAAAAACTTTGAAAAATAAATCTAAATCACCCTTCAAGTTCAAGTGCGGCAAACTTCGTCTAAAAAACAATGCACCACCTAATAGTACTATTTCGCTAATATATTTGAAATATATCCACAAACTCGTAAAGACTATCCTTATGTTTACAAAAAAGCCTACATCAGAATGTACCATTTTATCAATTATGGTCAGAACAGAACTGTCTCTAACACCATTAAATTCATTCTGTAAAAGTTTGGATAGCTAGCAAGCTCATGCCAACATATGCTGGCAAAATAATTTACATAACTGCATTATCTAAATCTGAGGTCAGCATGCTTCAGAGGTAAAACTAGTTTACTTCAAACTTTTACAGTTTGGCTTTTTGGATGTCTTCCATTATCCTTAAAAGACTTTGGAAGTTGTCCAATAATAGTCTGGAATCCTGATACTCCCTAGTGGAAAATCTCAACTGTATTTCAGAAAAAAGCTGGTAGGTGTGGAAATTTTCCTTCTATTCAATTGTCATCTGAAACGACAGAAAAAAAAAATAAACAAACAAACCAACAAACAGAAGAGCAAATGAACAGTGACCATTGCAGTTGCTGTGCACGTTAGTTCACCTACACTACGGATAAAAAAGTCTTGCCAATCCACTCCACTTTAAGAATATTTGGTAAGAAAATGGAAATGTTCAGTTCAGTTCTAGGAACTAATTAAATGTGTAAAATAAACAGAAAGACCAGTCCTGCTGGTCATACGTGGTAAACTAATCTAACTTATTGTTCTTTTTCTGATACTCTATAAGTTTATACTCTATATTTATCTGCCATAATACACCACTTTCATAAATGGCTGCCGGATTGACATTCTTCTGTTTCAATTCAAATTGGCCTCACTAGCCTCGCTTGAGATAATGTTTTCTTTTGAATTTTGAACTGGAGAACGAGGCCAGAAAGGCTAATTTAAATTTAAACAAAAGAATATTAATCTGGCAGCCATTTATGAAAGTGGTCAATTGCTCCTACAAACTATACTTAAACCTCAGTGGGCAAAAAATCATTATTCATGTATTAATTTGTGGAAATCACAAGTAACGAACGTTAAAAACCTTATAAAAGGTTTACTTTAAGCGTTTGTTAGTCCTTTTAAAATGCTCCATATCAAGCCTTCTACTTAATATATTTAATTTAGAATAACTAAATATGACATCTTTCAGACTTTACAATCAACTCTTACATTAACTTCAAGTTCCAGACAAAGAAGATGAAATGCTCCACTTCTAGTGAAATATATTTTTAAATGTTGCAATATAAAATAAAGCTATAATATCGATATTGGATATAACCTAAACGTACCTTACAAAGCAGTATTCACAAGCTACCCTTCATAACAATTACACTACTTTGCCACTACAGTAAAAACCCGCATACAAGAACAACCATTTTCGGGGTTCAGGCTGATTGGGTTCTTATATATCGGGTATTTTTGGTGAAATCAGACTGAAAGTGTTCTCAAGTGTTCTTAATTTTTTACCTCTAAAAAAATGTAAGGGATTTACTAGACTTTTAATTCCAAATACAGTTGTTGTACATTAATTTTGCTATACACAGCAAGTGAAATTACTAGCATTTATACAGAGATCTTAGTGCAATACCACAGTAAAGCTACAGACACTGTTTGTTCTATTAAACTGAAAAGGGAAGAGTTTTTATATATAAGAACAATTTTCAATTTTCAGGCTGAATGTGTTCTTACATATATACTCCTTTTTTTACCAAATTTCAGCCTGGGTGTTCTTAATCCACATGTTCTTGTATGCAGGTTTTTACTGAAGTTAACCAAATGCTTCACAACTTAATTCTTGTAAAAATGTAAAGTACTGACATTTTCATTTTGGGGGAACACGTGGTGGAACCCTCGGTCCCCTGACAGGTGGTTGAGGAGGGGGTGTATCTACGAGAAAAAATGACAAGTTGCAATGTTTTAGACTTAAAAATCAAAAGAGACAAATTCATATTTTACAGTCCTAACTTTCCCCTCAACTAAATGAGGCATTATCAATTAAAGTATGGGCATTCAGTCATTCACTTTGTTATAGCACTTAAGAAAATATTTATAATGAGATAATGTCCCTAGTTTGACCAATTTGTGTATTTGTAAGTGTGTGGCAGGTGGGGAAGAAATTATTTGTTTGAATGGTGTGTGGCAGACTTCAATATAAAATGACGACTTCTTAAGTGTCAGTTTTTAGAGCCCATACTGAGCTTTTCCACAGACCGTGCTCTTGTTGTAATCTATATGAGAAAATGATGTCTATGGGCAAATATTAGAGCTTATTTTCAAGCTGATTGAATTCTTCTGCTTAAATATTGACTGAAGGTTTGTACATACCAGGAAAGCCTGGTAATGCAATACTTCCTGGTGGTGCTCTTCGTGGTGCTGGCTGCCTTGGTTCATCAAGAGGAAGATTAGACCCACGAGGAACGGGAGGAGGAGGGCTCTTTTGTGGTCTCCCTGCTGGACTTTCCTCAGGGATACTGGCTGGAGGTCTCTCATGGTGCATTGGTAGTGTTCTAAAAGGTGTCTTGTGTTCCAAGAAAAAATAGATATCATGAGAAAATTGTTACTATAATTACAGTAACAATTTTCTTATGAAATAGTTTTGATAGGAAAAGTTAATGCAAATATATATGGAGTCAAAACAAAGTGCTACTATACATATCAAGCAATGAATTCAAAATTACCTTTGACTGGAAATCTGAGGTTGAGGTTGTGGTTGCTATAGAATAGAAACATTGATAAACTTTTAGGAAGTCTCACACTAACATTTTCTTCATTTGTTAAAGTTTTAGCCAATAACCACTGTTTTAACAGAACCCAACGTCAATTCAAAGCAGACTTATAACAGAACAACAATCGCTGACAACACACCTAATTTTATAACTTGGCTAGGATAATGAAGGACAAATTGAAGATGTTAATAAATTAAATATTTTTTCATTTTATTGTAATTTTAACAATTAACAGATAAGAAGGTAACTGTTACAACGAATTTGGGGCCAGAGGTCCGTTCACGTGGTGGGGTTCAGTCCCCTCCTGTCAACATTATATATTGTAGTGTTTGAGCGTAAAAGCTTCTTTATGTTACGTAGTTTGGTTTTGTTTGTCTTTAAGCTGCATGTCGCGTTATTTCAAGATCCAAACCGTCAGGTGTGTTTTATGTTTTCACTTCGCCGCGTTTATATCGTTTATTATTTTGTTCACGCCATTCATTTTCCGTAGTTAGACTTAGTGTAATTTAATTTTGCGATAGAAACCACTGGTCCAAAAATAAATGTATATGGTTCGGATAGCCATTGAGTGATGTTACCAGTGCGTACATTACAGTAACCTCACCCATAACATCAGGAGGCTCACTGCTGCGTCGTTTGATTGGAGGAGGAGGCCCTGTTTTGATTATTCCCTCAAGATCTTTCTTGTCCACAGGTAGTGTACTGTGCCTGGGCCTTGGATGAGGTCTTCTCCCTGTGCCTTCTAAAAAAACACAAACTTGGACATTAAATTTTATTCTATAATTATTTGCACTTTCATATGAACCATGACACAAACACAGTTTCATTATTTAGCCAGTATAGCCAGCTACTATATTTAAAAAAAAAAGAATCTCAGTTCTTTAGAATCAAAACTATAGTGAAAGGTTATGCAATAATATGATAGAATTATCTTTAGAGGAATTAAGGCTTTCTTGGAAAAGCTCATCTTAAAAGATAACCTCTTTGATTTGAGGAAACATAGTCAAGAACCAAAAAATAAACACTGAAAATCAACCAAAAGTGACAACAACCAACCTGTGACTTTCTCCTTTTTATCATAGTCTGGGCGTGGAAGGGGAGGTGGAGCATCTCCACTTTGTGTGTCGTCATCATTATGACTCTACAATAAGATCAAAGAGGCATTGCATATATATTAAGTGGGAAAAACCTATTTCTTAATCAGCAATTGAAGCATCTAGATTTATCTCTTTCCTTTTAATTATTTATTTATTTACTATTATTATTATAAATTTTTTTTGGTCTAGTTATGTGCGAGGTATTTTTATTTTACACGTATTCAGTATTCAAATTGTAACATAAGTCCGGACACGTAATTTGTAACGTACCTTAATATAAATTCAAATGTACCACTGTTAAAAGCTCATTTGCAACTTAAGATGACATGAGAATGTCCAAACATGTCTTATAAATTTAAAGTTGTCGCTTCTTTATTGGGAGTTATGGTCACTCTGCTGTCTTTACGTCCATTTGACTCTACAATACCAGTGAAATCAACAAAATGCAATTTGCAAATTGTGGCTGGGTTCCCTGTTTTTGTGTTTTCCTGCCCTTTTTGTCACATGACATCCCATGACCCCAGTCACTCAAGAATGTTCTGTTTTTTGTTATGTTTGGGAGGCATATTCACTCGAGTAACGAGGTCCATTGAGCTGATAGAAAACCAATAAAGACGAATTTTGGTTGTTAAAGTTTTGGCCGTAATTACACAAAATTAATGATAAACTATGGGTGGCATAACATTTCGAAATATATAAAAACCCTTATTTTGCAAGCAATCTTGATTGGTTATTGATATTCCCAACTCTCTGTGGGGTGCTACACTTGGGAATCTTTAAACTTGAACACATATGAGCTTTTCAAAGTTAACATTGTACATTAAATTACAAAAAGTGTGGAAACTTCTAAACAACAGTTTGTTTTGCCATGACTTAAAGGAGAACTAAATACTTTAAATACTATTAAATACTTTTGTGATTGACATAATTAAGCTAACTGCATGTACAGTAACCATACAGCTTTACAGTATAAATCTTAAGTTATATACTTGCAGTAATAAAACTGCAATGTTTGCATTTGGAAAGCTGGTTTAAAAGATCTATCAATAATTTTTTCCACTGCATGAATAATCAATGTACCTTTGATTGGGACTGCTTAATATTCTGAAAGAGTTCTTCTCGAGTAAGGTGTATTCTGAAAAGCAATGGAAAACAGGACAACACAATTAAAACCTTGTCCTGTACATCTCTAGTCACAGTCAGTTATTAATTTATTCCTTTTCAACAAACAGTAAGTTGTCAAGAGTATTTATACTTTATTAATCCTACATAATATAAGAATTCACTTTAAGTCATTTCATTTTGAAGGAAAGTTTATTAGTTGTTTCATTGCTATAACAGGTAATTTGTGTACTTGTAACTGAGACCAGGTCATGACCACCTTTGTGGCAGTTACATTTGTCATTGTGCCCTAAGTTAGTCATTGAAGCATTAGGCAACTTAGCATTTACCTTTGTGGCAGTTACATTTGTCATTGTGCCCTAAGTTAGTCATTGAAGCATTAGGCAACTTAGCATTTACCTTTGTGGCAGTTACATTTGTCATTGTGCCCTAAGTTAGTCATTGAAGCATTAGGCAACTTAGCATTTACCTTGTGGCAGTTACATTTGTCATTGTGCCCTAAGTTAGTCATTGAAGCATTAGGCAACTTAGCATTTCATGGTGGACATGTTGTAGTTCAATTTTATACTTAATTGGTTCAAATTTTCTTTTCTTTTGTTCTTGGTCATGTTAATGTATGATAATGAGTTTGAAACAAAATAAAATTTGAACCAAGGATAAAATTGTACAACAACAGATATACCATCATTTTGGTCCCTTAACCTTCTAATTCAAACTCTGTACCTGCTATATATATTCAAAACCTTAGCAAAAACCCCAATTAAGCATTCTAGTATTGTATCAATCTTATCATTGTTGGAATGTTTTGTATGAAAATTCTATGGATCCCTATTTTCTGAGGCATATTTTTAAATGGCAGTTTCCACTCAAGTTTCAGTTCAATGATTCCTACATAAACACTAGCTGTTATTATTATGCACATTATAAAAGTAAGTGAAAATACAATGTGCAGTTTTTTTGAGACATATGGTGAAATTTGAAAGTTCCAAATATTCATCATGATTTACACTGGAGGCACAGTGGCCTTGTGGTTAGTGCACTTAATTGACTCCAGATTGAGTGGTCTGCATTCATGCCCTGGCAAGGGACATTGTGTTATGTTCTTAAGCAAGACACTTTACTCTCACAGTGTCTCTCTTTACCCAGGAATATAAATAGGTACTGGCAAATTTAAAGCTGGGGGTAACCCTGGGATAGACTAGCCTCCCATCCAGGGAGGAGTAGAAATACTCCTAGTCGCTTCATGCTATGGAAACCAGATTTAAGCACCAGCCCAAAGGGCCACCTGGCTTGTAAGCAGGCTTTACCTTTACCTAAACTACATCAACGTGTTTTGTTACTTACTCTTCATCTTTATTGACATCTTCAGGGTCTTCTTCGTGGTGTAACAACTGTAAGTTAAACACAATTGTCATGTAAAATTACATACTTGTCAGCTCTCATGCATTATGACTCTCACCCCTGTGGACCAAAGGCATTGATCTCACACATTGCAGACAGTTTCTGACATCTGACTTATAAATCTGAATGACTTGTTCTTTATAACACATTCACAACAAAAATTTGATTCACTATTCCCAAAAATTGTTCCAACAAATAGCATAATGTAGAGTTTGAATCTTCAATATGTTTGAATTAAAGTCATTGGAAAAGCTTTAAGAAGCTTCTGAGGTGTTCAGAAGTCATTGGAACAACTTTGGATATGTTTGGTATAGCATTCAGATGTCTTTGAGAAATCCTCAGAAGTTGCCAGAACATTTTTTTTAACATGTTTATTGCTTATAAGTATAAGGGTTTATTGTCTCATCCCTGTCAGGTTTAATGGCAAGTTGCCAAACTGTGAGACAAACAAGAAAACAATTTTATCATTGAACTTCATCACAACAAAGTGCTTGACCTCTTTGCAGGCTAGATGAGAAGAAACTGAAACTTAAGGTTTCAGCTATTTTCAAATACCTCATGTCCTGAGCTTACTCCACTACTGCTACTGCTACCACTGCCAGTACTGCTTATAGCTGGGAAAAAAGTGTGAAGAGGATATGCACATCTCAGTAATCACCCATTGCAATTAACTATTAATACTTATTCTTCATAATTCAAAAACTTATGGCAACAATCCAAGAATAACAACTACACCGATCTCAAAAGCTCTAAAACTCCTGCTGTAATTCCTGCCACTTAATTTTCAGCTACATTTTTTAACCAAAATTCTCTAAATGATATGGCTTCATAATCACTGATGGTAACCACTGTCCCTTATCAAAAACATACTTTGTGATTTTGCAATAAGCTACAAGTAATGTTCAATAGTTAAGTATATATTAAACACAAACTATCCTCACTTGAAATGGAGCTCCTTGAGCTTACTGAACCCGTCCTTTGAATTTGTGCCTGTAGGAAAATAAACACATTTTCACTCAATTAAACATCTACAATCCGCGTCTACAATCAGCATCAAAATTAGGTGACATGTACATCATGTTTGAAGAGTTTTATTCATAATAGGAAGAACTAAATGTTTTTACCACACTCTAAATCATTAACAGATCAACCCCCCTCCCCCATTCAATGTTGGCCAAAAGTTTATGAAATTACAACACAACATCATTTTTGGAGGGAAGGGCCAGGGGCAATTAGGTATAAACTTAACAGGGCAAAAGAGATCAAATTGAAGTACTGGTAATAGGGGGTTGAAAAGATCAATTTGCCAACAATTTTGTGGCTGATTGTTACAGTAGCTTTGACATAACATGACTAATTGATTAATATGGCAAATAAAGCTGTGGCTGAATTGTAGTATCTATGAGAATTAGCCTCCAATGAATACGATACAATTTCATTTCCATAGTATATCCTCCTTACCGCAGAATATGAGCTGCCCACATGCATACGGCTCACCATTTCTTCGATTGCTTCACTTGAGTAAAGTCCACTTTGTTTTAATGTTCTTCGTAAGAGTTCTTCTTGAGACATTTTGCCTACAAAGAAAAAAAATAATGCATTACAACTTGAATTTAGAGTTGGCACGGGTCAAGAAAATGACACTGTAACACTTGACAACCAAGAAATAAAATCTACTTTTCTGCCACAGCCATCTTCTCCAAAACTTAACAGCTTCACCCACAAAAGCTGCTAAGCAAGCTCCAAGAGGCACTAGAGCATGAACAATGAAGCTATGAGGGAATGCCACACCACTGTACTCTAGCTGAACCCTCTCTGACCCCTTTGCAACTCATGCTGAAGTGCCAGGGCCAGCCAGCACCAGGGGTAACAATCATTAAAAACTAAGGTAAATCCCAAAGTATTTAAGTACCATAAAATTCTACCCCACTCTCCCAACAACCATCCCACTCCCAAGATCCAATTATGAGATTTGTACAATGTCTACTGTACGTATCTAATTATGATCTTAGCTCCAAGAATTTGGTTGTTAAATAATTAAAACAATTATGTTAGAGTTGTTAATATTTTTTTATTCTTCCAAAAATCAGAAGGCCATTAGTTCGACTTCTGAATTCAAAGGGTTACGCAGGCCATTACAAGGAATATAGCAGATATTTTTAGCTAGGCTAAAATGCACTAGTGAAGAAATACTTAGCATAAAGCTATAAACTGTCCTAAATTTTATATGCCTGGTTTGGAGATTTATTTTTGCTAAGTGGTAAATAATCATTGCATTAGAAACCTTTTATTGGTGGTAAGGACTGAGTCTTCTTCGCCTCTTCTCTAGCCCTAATAGCTGCAGCTATGCTGGCAGAGCGGTAGAATCCTGGATCTGGATGAACTGGTAAATTTGACTTTGGTGTAACATAACCAGGAGGAACCTCTGGTGGCTCCACTATATTAGCAAAGAGATCATGATAAATGTCTTAATGTCACTGTACATTTCTCAGCTAGAAACATACAAGACCATCATGAATCAAAAAACATATTCCCAGAGATAATTAAAACAGACTGGAGGGTTGTTCTTGATTTTCCAGTTTGCTATTTAATATTAATTGAATTAAATCATTTAATACATTTAACTTTTACCAATAAATACAGTCGAACCTGTCTTAGGCAGCACCACATTAAGTGGTCACCTTGTTCTAAGTGCATGGTTGCATGGCTGCCAAATTAAGTCTCAAATTTGTTTCCTTTAATCACTGTTGGTCATGTCCTTTACTTAATCTCAACAGCATGTTCGTATTGTCTCAGTGGCGGATCCAGGGGGAGGGTCCGGGGGGTCCAGACCCCCTATCAGACCTGAAGCTTACAACTTTGAGACTGAAATTCTTACATCCACAGGATCGTATATCACTTTATAACTGGCTGATTTTCTAAATTAATTAATCCAAGTAAACGGTAAGCGGCCAAGGAATTATAATGTGCAACTGCGACTGGTGGGAGGAGGTGTGAGGGAGAAGTAATTTGCCTCAAAAGAGTCCAACAGTCCTTTCTGAGCCAAAGTTTGGACCCCCCTATCAAAAATTCCTAGATCCACCCATGTGTCTTCCACATGAATATAATGGTCACCTAAAGTGGAACCTGACTTAGCAATTACAGTAAAACTGGGAATAATCTTTCTGGTAAATTTTGACCCATGTTTCCCTCCCATAATCAAAGTAACTATTATTTATTGTTTGTGAATATATGAAAATCATATATGTGAACTGCAGTTAAGGAAATGACTATGAGAGAAATTTTCGCAGTTATGAACACAACTCAAGCAGTAGTGAAAATAAGGCTGAAAAAAAATTCAGGCGTGTACTGGAATTGAACCCAACTGGGAGCTGGTCATTGTGCTGGTTCGTAATAAACCTGTGAAGTAATGAGTCAACCTTTGTAATAAACCTGTGAAGTGATGAGTCAACATTGACTTATCACTTCACAGGTTTATTACGAACCAACACATTATGACCAGCTCAGTTGGCTTGTTAGCTCAGTTGGTTAAGAGCACTGTGACGGTATTGCAGAAGTCATGGGTTCAAATCATACAGGTACAGGCCTGAATTTTTTTTTTCAGGCCTTATTTTCAGTACTGCTTAAGTATGTTCATTACTGCAAAGATTGCTCTCATACTCATTTAAGTACTATTTAAGAGCCAATTATGATATAAAGTGTCACCCCACCATTGACCCCTTGGATGACTGCTTTATACAGGTTCAATTGTTTACAATAGAGGAAGTGTTTAATGTGCATTTAGAAATTTATAGGTTCCAAGGCAAATATATATTGGTAAATATTTGTAAAAATTATATTCTATTATTTTCTATAATATCATGTCAAAATGTGGTATGTCAGTTAGACTGAACAAGTATTAAAATGCTGAATCTTCAAGTCACCTTTACCATCCAGAGACCACATATCAGCAGGTAATTGGTTCAAAAGTTGTTAGCATGCAGCACTCAGAATTTCTTCTTCTTTTTTTCTTTTTTTTTTTAATAATATCTTTTAGTAAGCTTGTTTCATTCAATTAAAAACGTAATTTTTCAATTAAATCACCAGGCTCCAAAAATGCTCTCTTTTTTCCATCTTTATAGTGCTTAATTATCTCAACATACCTGCCTCCTCCATTGTTGTGTATAATTCAGATGGATCCTCTTCTCCTTGTTCTCTTGCCATATCCATATAAAAATCTTCTGGTGTTTCTTCACGTTTGGGATTGCCTTCCATTGCTTCATAAAGTTCATCATCAGCAGTAACTTCAGCCTGAAAATTTGCATATGTGGAATCCTCTGCTTCATACTGTTCAGATTCAGTGTATAGTTGGGTGGCCTTGTACTTCCCTTTCTCTTTGACATCTTCATATAACTTACCACTCTGGCTTTCCTCTCCATTTACAGGAACATAATGATAAGAGCCATCGCTGTTTCGCATCTTCACATAATAACCAGCCTCGTCTTCTTGTTTGTCCAAATTTATGTATTTCCTTCCCTTCATATAAGTATAAAGTCCATGGCCTTCTCCACCCATAGGTACATAGCCATATGAACCATCATCCTTTTGCATTTTGACATAGTAACCATCATCATCACCCACATCAGCATAGATTTGATTTGGATCTCCTTGATCCTTGATTTAAATAATCAGCAAATATCAATAATAATAAAATAATAATAATAATAATAATATCAGTGATGATGGCAATAAGGATGATGATGATGGTGGTCAATTATATTTATTTATCTTATTATTGTTATGGTCTTTACAAAAGTGTCATCATTATCATCATCATTGCAATTAACCAAAGATCGATAACACTTTGAAGGAGTGTATTTCGTGTTTGGTTGTCAAATACACTTACAAACAATCCCATCAACATTTCTGATCCCCTAGCTGTGAGATCTACTTCACCAATTAGTTCTCTTTAGCTCGTTGAATGATGAAATCCAAAGATCTGAGGTTTGAGTTCTTCTGCAAGACTCAAATTCTTTTATTTGTCCATGCTCATGAAAAATAAAGAATATCTTCAAAATTTATCATCATTAATTTTTAAATTTATTAACAATACTACTATCTAAATTACAAAATTTGGATCATTTTATCTTCAATTAATTGCACAATTAGTGGCTAATTAGTAAAATAATTCAAACTACTTTTAAATTTAACACTAAGAATCAACCTCAGAGCAAATACTTACACGGAAATTACGCAGATTGTCTGCCAGTTGTTTAAAACCCTGATCCTCTGCAATATTGTATGGCCATTGCCCATGATAATTCTTAATAGCGCAGGCCTCTTGAGCTCCAGGGTAATGTAAAAGTGTGGCAATGAGCCTGCTTAGTCCAAACTGCGCTGCAAAGTGCAGAAGAGTTGGATGCTCTGCACTTGATTCTTTACCTATCAAAAGGAATAATATATTAGAAATCACTTATAAAATCACTTAAAATAATACCTAAATTAAGCAGCCAGGAAAACTGATTTAATGTAAACAAACAATTTTGATGACTCACATACAGATAATCTTTCACCCGCATGCGGTAAAACTTTTACCTTTAGTATTTTTGTGGATGCCTAGCAAATTGAATCCTTCAGGAGCATTTGAGCTGAATGTTTCTGCCAAAGCACAGTCCAGACTTAGTACATCAACTGAGGACAAACTCAGGGATTCACACATAAACTTAACAGGATCCAGTTCTGTGTACAGCAGTCTATAGAATGTGTCACTCCTTGACAGAAATTCAAATGTGTGTTGGCCTAACAATCTTCGATTTATTCCATGGTAGACATAGGCTGTCACAACACTCGCCACAGGATATTCTAAAGAAATAAAAGGTGTGTAATTGTGTGTATCAATTAAACAAGGTTAGAAACCAGCAGTTTTTGGTGTTTTTGTGATGCTGGGTTAGTATATAAATCAGTTATGGAGTAATTTTGTGTATGGTCTAGAGGAAACCAGAATTTATACTTTTATGGGTGCCAAATGTAGATTAATGGAACTATTTGGTCTCTAAAGAGCATTTCCCCTAAAATACCACTCAAGTGTATAAAAGCCATAAGAAAAAATAGACAACTGTATATACATGACTTGTGAAATTGTTAGATCTTCCTTTCCTGAGTACTGGGTTACATGTAAATTAAGACAAGACTATATTAATACAAGTTGCCTGCCTGCTTGTAACATTAATATCCTAGGTACCGACAATCAATATTCATTTCCATTTTTGGTAACCAGCTGATGGTGATTTTATGTTCCACCTTTACTTCTGTAAAGACTACACATAATATTGTAAGCTTGAGTGGAACATACAATGCTGCCCTGCAGGAATGAATTTCTGATAATTAATTTTTGCTGTTCATATAGTTTACATATCTGTAAAGGTTGTTTACAAGTTCACTTATAGTAGTACTTTCTATTATGCACTCAAACCCTTTACATCGTCCTTAACATCAGTATGCATATTCTCCATACTGTTCTCTATACATTTCTTATGGTAGTGACAAGGAGAATTTGTTTCACAATATCAAGAACTTCCTGTAGTTGCAGGTGAATGTTTCTTTCATTCTTGTGACCTTAATGTATGCTTCAGGGTGATCTTAAAAGGAGAAATTAGATGTTAGCCACTATTAGAGGGTAAAGGGTTAATTGCTTATGTTGGAAAATATACCAAGTACTTCCATATTCCTACCTGGTGTCTCCAAAATTAGGGTTGAGCTGTTCAGCTGCTTGGCAGTTACTTGAACTGCACCACCCGTTCCGACAAAATCAACAGTAAATTGACTTTTTGCTTTAGAAGATAAGCGCTTGTTAAAAACAATCACTATCTCCTCTTTTACCTGCAAGATACAAAGAAATTACACTTCTTTTAGATCTTTAACAAACAAGTATAAAAGATTATTTACTAACTGAAAATTTTCTAGGATTTAGAAGAAAGATACAACAACTTATTCTCATGCATCTGTTAAAATGAACATTGATGCAAATTTTATAAAATTAAGGAGTTTCAAAACTTATTTATAGACTGAACCAATAAACACAATGTGTCGGGTAACATTCATTTATGAAGTTAAGACAATATAAATTTTATACTAATACAATACAAATTTCAATCTTCAAGGTCTCCAAATAATATGTTGAAGGAAAAGGGAATTTCTCCACAAAATTTCCAATTTACTTAACATGGAATGATAATAAAAGAAAAAGTCCCCCCTTTTCTAAAATTTTGCTTTATACTCACATCGTTTTGAACTCTTTGTGGAATAATTGCCTTGACAATCAAAGGATCTATGACAAATGCCAACAACATTTAATGTAACATTTTTTCAATATAAATACACTGTACATGTATGTTGCCTCCTGAATCAAAACTTACAAATTTTACATCATAATCTAAACAAACATCTAAATGATAAAATTATTTGCAAGTTCATTCAGGAAGCATTATACATACATTTACAGAATGAATTTCTATCTCTTACAGGTATTAAAAAAAAAAAAAAAAAACCCAAAAAATTACTTATGGAAAATAATAATTTTTTGCTCGTAACTTTTATTCGGAAGGTAACGATGTGTCACCGTACTTTATATTGAACCTGCATCAAAATTCATTTAGCCACTTCAATATATTGATCCAAATTATCATCAAATCTGACTGTTTACCACTACCAAATTCTACAAGACTTTGTTATCAACTTTCTATTTAATTGTATCAAATCACTTACCATTCACGCGGGCTTCATCATTCCCAAAATCTTGAGAATGCATTGCCTATTCAAAGAAGTAAATTAGGAAAAAGCTGATTCACAAATACAATACAGGACGTAATAACATTACTACTAATAATTAAAAATTTCAAATTGCTCTTGGTGGGCAGTATTCTGGTTATAATATTAAATATATTGCAAAATAATAACCCCATTTTGAGACATACTTCACAACGATAAAATACATCTTTGTTAATTAATGGAGGGGTGGCGGAGTTCAAAGCAGTGAAGTGCACAAGAAGTTACAAGACTGATTTAACCAAAATATCCCAGCGAAATACCGATATGCTTATTATCTATCGATCTAGATTTTCACATTCGGGCTCGTTATGACGATTTTTGCTGACAGTAAAACTTCAGAGTCTTCAAAGGTTATCAATATTAATGCGCGTGTTGTTTCAAATAAATGTCAGAAATAGCGCTCTTGAACCGACACTTTGTAATTTTGAGCTCCTGTTGAGGTACAGACGAATATTTCGGATATTAAGCTTCATTACAGTACTCGTTGGCGCTGTGTGCAAACGTGCAACCTATCTTTCCTACTGTTACTTCCGGGTGAAAACTTGATTACGACAGCTAAATATGTGGTCTTCGACCTCAAATAACCCGCGTCTCTCAAGATCAAGAAATTCATGTCCTGTGACTTAAGAAAGAAAAACCTGGCGTTCCACCAGAACCTACCAGGTTTTGATGACCATGTGGTAAGCATTCAAAATCAAAATAGCGATTGTAAAGTACGATACTCAAGGAAAAACACAAAATTAATTAGGAGGAAACGATCTTTACCTAGCTAATGTACGGATGTCAGCAGTTGACTTCGTTCGACGTTTGTGTCAGCATTACTATTCGCGAATTTTGTCGCAATTAGAGGGTTTTTCAGTGTAATAAAAGCTATCAGGTGACTTTCGAAACGAAAAAAATGTTTGCCAAAGCACACAGATTAAAATGAAAGAAAATAATGAAACGCAATTGACAAAGCTGCAGTGTAAAGTTAGGCAGTCGCCGAAACCATCGGATCAATTTCAAACGTGATGTAGTTCGCGCGCTCTAACATGGCAATTAGTACTCACCTGGTTATCCAAAGTGTATTCTGTTCTTCAATGAACTCGTATTCCACCTTCAAGACATACAACACACCAGGAAATCCAAATTAAACTCGCACTACTCGCAAGGGCAAAGTCACACCACTTGGCGCTTGCACTCCGCTTCAAGTCCCTAATATGGAATGCACGAGCGGAAGTCGTAAGCTGGCTAACGGGCTATCGTTCCTAATTAATTCGCAGAAAGAAACCTTTTGTACTACTTCCGTTAGAGCTGATTCTAAAAAAATAAGAATCTTCAACTTAGCAATTTGGGCTTGCGTCATAGGCCGGCGAAAGATTCATGCGTGCATCTAGGTTCACCAACGCGCTGTATCAGAGCTGAATCTATTATCAAATTACGGTTCTGTGCACAACGAGAGCATTCCAGACATATTTCCGTAGTCCCCAGCACTATACTTGCAACCATAGCCTGGGTTCCTCTAGCTTAAAAAAAAAAAAGACACTCAGCTTCACATCTACATAGATGCAACCAAATAGATTTAACTGGAATATAGGTTTCTAACGTTTTCTCTTATTGCTTCCGCTTGAAGAATGTGTAATGATCAACATGCATGTAAAACGTGGATATATGTCGCAACCCATCCGGCTTTTGAACTACTTAAAATTGTAATACAAGCCTGTGGTTCTTACGTTTAAGATAGGTTCTTGGCAAGATTCCAGTTTATCCTTGTCCGATGTCAAAAATTCAATTTCTATCAACTGAAGGAAACTATGGTAATCTAGACGGGGTCCCTTAAGTTTTTGATTGTCCACTGAAAATATCTAATAACTCTTTTTCTCATGTCATTTCAAAGACGGTCCTGATCAAGGAGGTGCACCTTTTACCGAGGGGAGGGGAGGAGAGGGGAATTATGAAGTGCATGCTCGAGTTTGAGCTAAAAAAAAGACTGTTGGGATTGGAATGATTGATTCATTAAGGTCAAACAAAAGTTCTTGACTACTTTCAGCTTAAGTAAACCAGGTGACTAAAAAGTACATAAATCCGTAGCTTCTCAAACATGGCAACTATATGTAGGTGGAAACATTTTTCCACAAGTAACCCCTGCAGTGAATGAATTAAACCAGGATCAAAGAACACCTGATCAATCCTGATATTGGTCTCATTAAATAACTTTTGGTTATAAGGACATTATTTTAGCATCAAGTGAAATACAAAGTCTGAAAAAAAAAAAACACCAATAAACAAGCAAATAAACAAACAAACAAACAGAAAAGAAAGGGGCCCTAACTGTTCATCTGGGGTTTAATCCATCATTGATATTGTGAGCTCTCTTCATAATTTCCATATATACAGCTTTTCACAAACAAGTGCTACAAATAAACATGCTCTTCACAGAGAAAGTCTTACTGGTATATTACCCATAAAATTCACTCACTTATTCAGTGAAATGTATTGTGCCAAGAGGGGAGAATTCAAAATCATGGATGAAGGTTTATGTATGCAAGCATTCCCTAATGGTTGTCTTTTTAATAATTTGCATTTTATAAGGTTAATTTCTCAATACCTACCACTTGTTGCTTCACCGACATTTTCACCCTTTGACTCCCAAGACAGAACTCAATACTAATGGTAGCCAACTAGCCACAGACTTGTAGAAATTCAGTTTTGGCTAGTGGTTTTTGATTTACACCAGCCAGTCTGGCTAGCAAACAAACTGAAATTGTTGGAACTTATAAGTTGTTACTAGCCACTTGGCTGCTACATTCACCCTTGTAAATTAGTTACAAGAGTTTGGCGCTAGATCCAGATAATGACTTCTACATGATCAGTTTGAGTATTCTCGTTACCTGTTTGTTAGATAATGTATGGAAATTATAGGGTGACATTACGATCTCAAAGACATGGTTGATCCCTTAGAGACTCGACATTATTAGATCTACCACATGTTCAAGACCAAATGTGGTCAGAGTTCTTTTAAGTTCCCAGCTGCGAGTGCCTGGAACAAATTGCCAAGAGAGATACATGACCTGAAATCATGCAATGGCACAGTTTAAGGTCAGAACTTTTACCTACTTAATGATTAAGGATAAGGCCAATCGTATTTCACCAACATATTTCACTAACCGCCTCCCGGTTAGCTCAATTGGTAGAGCGTCGGACTGTTGTGTGGGAGGTCATGAGTCCAAATCCGGCCGGACCAACACTCAGGGTCTTTAAATAACAGAGAAGAAAGTGCTGCCTTTGTAATAATATCTGCAAATGGTTAGACTTCCTAGTCTTCTCGGATAGGGACGATAAATGGAGGTCCCGTCTCACAAGCCCTTGTATGTGATAAAAAATTTGTGGGATGTTAAAGAACCCACACACTGTTCGAAAAGAGTAGGGCACGTAGTGCCCAGTGTTGTGGTCTATCTTTGTGTAGTGTCTATCAAATTGATGGGGGGGGACTGCGCCTTTGAATATTGTATAGAAAGGGTGCAATATAAATAAGGAATTCATTTATTCATTTGCAAGATCAATGATTAGTTCTTTGTTAAAGTTTTTGTCATTATTGTAAACTGCTGTTGTTTTTTTTTTTCATGTTAGTGTTCTTATATCTTCTTATTATTGCTGGTCACCGATTAATACCAGTCTATGAACCTTTTGTTGACCGACTGACCGGTTTTTCTTTCTACCAGGATAAATAAAGTTATTATTATTATTACATGTTAATGACTCACATCCTATTTAAAAAACTCATGTTTTCGCATCATATTTGCATTAGAATGTCAAATTTGAAATTTAACATCTAAAAAAAAAATAAATAAAAAAGCATTTATATAGTGCTAAGCTTGACTAGTTCTCCATCGTGCTTTACAAAATTATAGACTAATAAACATTGCAATTAAATTATAAAAAATCGTAAATTAAAAAGCGTCTTTGAACAAGTATGTTTTAAGGTTCTTCTTGAAAATTGCAACAAATTCAGAAGTTGTCAGGGAATATGGTAAATCATTCCAAAGCTTGGGACCAGCAATGGAGAAGGCACGGTCACCATAGTTCTTTCGAAATGTTCTTGGAACCATCAGGAGCATTCGTGATGAGGAACACAGTACACAAGAGCCTTAATTCCTTTGATGCAACAGTTCAGCAATGTAAGTTGGAGCTAAGTCATGTAGACCTTTATAGACAAGTAGAAGTATTTTGAAGATGTGATACTTAACAGGTAGCCAATGAAGTTTCTTTAATGCAGGTGTAATATGTTCCCATTTCTTTGTCAAAGTAATAACTCACGCAGCAGCGTTCTGTATAGACTGTAGCTTGTTAATCATATAGTCAGGTAGTCCATAGAGAAGGGAATTGCAATTATCCAATTTAGATGTAATGCAAGCATGAATCACAATTTCAGCAGTTTCCGGACCGAGATATTTTCATATCTCACTTATGTTCCTTAGGTGATAGTATGACGCTTGACAAACTTTTTTAACTTGCTCATCCATTGTTAGATGTTGATTGAAAAACACTCCTAAATTTCTTGTAGATTGAGCTGGGCTAATCTTTTTGTCACCAACTTCAAAAAAATTGAGTACAGGAGATTGACAAGACCTGAAACTGATGAGTAACAATTCGGTTTTATCTTGGTCGAGCTTCAAGCCGTTCAATATCATCCATGAATCAATATGTTTTACACACAACTCCACTTTAGATTTAACTGTTAATAGTTCATCTTGCGAACTTGACATCTATTGGACCTCAAAGGTTTAATAAGAAAGGATCAATCATTTAAACACAAATACTTTTTTAATCTCTCACTTTCCAAATAGGCCATTTTACAGTTGTGTACTTAGTTGCCAAGCCTTTGATTCAGAGTGAGGCTAAAGATGACCTTGTTGTGATAGAGCCCTGTATCTAGTTAGCATGATAACAAAGTGATTTACATTTGAAAGGCAGCAAGGTTTGTAACATAACAAGGTCATCTCTAGCCTCACTCCTGTTCAAAGGCTTGGCAACCAAGCACACAACTGTAAAAAGGACTATTGTCTGAAATTTTTTTAAACAGACTTTTCATGCAACTTTATTTGTGGCTCGGAGACTACTACTAACTTTTGTCTCTTATGTGTCATCAATTTACACAGGGTGAACTACTGGTATGATAAACTTCACAGTCCAATGATTAATAGTTGCTGATGATAATTCTAACAAAAAGAATGGACCTGATTTGTCAATTCAGACAACTACAATGTTTGTGTATAAAAAAAGTGAGTGCTAAGTATCATAACAAAAATCTTAGAATGCTGGGCTATAATAAAAACTGTCCAAACAAATCTAGATCCACTCCAGTTCTTATGACTGTATGACAATGTCTAGATGCATGTGCTCTCTCAAGCAGTAAGACTAAAATGATCTAAATTGTCAAACATAAAACATCAGACAAACTAATAAGTGAACTTCCAATCTGATATAAAATCGACTCTGCTTATGACTAAAGGCATATCAAGTTCCAAGAAAATCATTAAAAAAAAAATTCAGCAATAACCCCTCTAATCAAACTTAGTATAACCAGCACCATAAGCAGAGTTTGAAGTATAATTTCCTGATCCGCTATAAGATGAACCACTTTGACTGGTTGTGGAGTATGGATCTTTTGGAGGGGCATAACTGCTGTATGCATCCTTTGAAGAGTAGGTCTCCCTTGGAGGATAAGAAGTGCTGTAGGACTGGCTTGAACTGTAGCTTGATGAATATTCACCTGGCCTTGAGCCACTGCTACCTCCACTACCATTGTAGCTACTGCGCTCCCCTATCTGATTGCGATACTTTGCATTTTGTTCCAAAAGAACCTCATTTGTGGCCTTCAGGTCAGCCACCTGCCTTTGGAGATCAGATAATCTACGACGAAGGGATTCATTTTCATCCACGAGGTAGTAGTAGCTGTGTCCTTCGTAAGAATCACGGCGACGTTTACTGGGATGACCATCATAACCATGGCTCATGAATTCTCCTTCCTCTTCAAAGACATGGCGATAACGACAACCTTGTCCTCTTGTGCACTTGTTGTTCAGGAAATCTTTGCAAACAGGATCACTTGGTCCTGCACGGGTTGGTTCTCCTCTTGCTCTATATGGGAAGGGACCATCACGCCTAGGGGGTATTTGACCAGTGCGAAGAAATATCTTCTCTTCATTGTTAGAAAGGTGTAAATATTTGCAGGTCGAACGGCTGCATTTTCCATTTTGAAAGTCTCTGCAAATCATTGGGCTGTTTGTAACCTCTGTTCCCATACCATCTGGGTGATTGAATTTACACTTTGATCCACGGGAGCACACACCACGCTGATAATCACGACAGATGTTTCCTCCACCTTCCTCACTCCTTCCAGTGGTGTTATTGTTGGTATCATTTTTGTTTTCTGATTCTTGAGACATTCCTTTTAAAATAGGTTTGACTGTGATATACAAAATAGCGCTTTGCTATCTCTCAAATTCAATGCTTACAGTCAAAGTGCGCTCACCAGATTAAATGGAATCGCAGGCTAATGCTGCAAATGCTGCCAAGACGGTGTCTGCTAACCTGTTGCAAGGTTTCTGCGTACAACTCACTGCTGCCTGCGCCACGCAAATCTGGCGTACTGGAATGCTGCATGACGGAAGCGCAAAAATGCATTTGGTTAGGCAAAGTCAATATTTCAAGTTGTGCTAGGGCAATTAATATAGATAACCAAAATTTGGTTGGGGGAAAAGAGTCCTTAGCATGCAAAAAAAATCGATCACATTGAAAAATTAGAAATACTAGATTCAGTGACATCTTAAGTGCATAGTAGATGTTTATTTACGATTCGTGAGTTTTTCCAAAAGTCAGCTTTTAAGTATGAAAGATAGCCTCGTTCTTAAAACGTTATAAGGACGCCTAAGCCTCTTCGTTTCGTCACCTCTAGATCGGAACGGCTTTAGGTGACCAATTTATACTAGTCTTCAGCGAAATACAAAGTATCAACAGGAAAAAGCAGCAAACCGTCGAGCGAGCTTTCAACATAACAAAAAAAGCAAACAAATTATATCCTTCAAGAAAATTTTGAAGACACATTGACGATTGCCTTCCAAAAAATATGCAAAAAAAACCTCTGTTCTATAATTTAGAAGACATAGCAGACATTTTTTAAACAAAATTGACGTTAAGACAACGTAATGCAGCACTTTTCATTTCAAGACGACCGCGTGCTTGCCAGTTTGTGCATTCTAAAAGCGACGCGACTGCATAGAGTAAATCCTTTCGAGAAAGGTGTAAAACATGACCTAACAGTGAAATAGCGCATACTTTGCCTGGTATCCTATGGCGCCTTTAGCTTAGCAATCCTTGCCTTCAACGTTAAGAGCGAGTTTTAGCTGAAGTTGTTCGATATATCAAATACAACAAAGCTTCGCCCAGTTAGCCAAGATGGCGGCCCATGTAGTACAATCGACGCCGACACGTGTCCAGACCAGGCGCGGCTGCTTCACATGTCCTAATATGGAAATAAGCGCGCTATTTCTCATTTTATTTTCGCTTTTCATTCCGATTATTTAGTAGCAATTTTATCATTTTTAACTCGTATAATCTTTCTCTTTCCACTAGATTTAGCAAATAAAGCATGTTTTTCAAAATTCTGACAGTGATTTCTCACTTGCTGTCTGAGAGTTCACCAGAGACCAGAGGTGGTTTAAGTCACAGGGACTTGTTTCAACTTCCAAGTTATAAAGAATTCAAATGATCACAATAAGACTCAGAGAAAGAACCAAACTAGAACTCTGTGAAATTAGTTCAGTTAAGAATCCCTTGCTGTTTTTGCTTTCTTGTCTTCAATTACCGTTGAGCCCTCTGATTGGTTGCTATTATACAAAACACTTTTAATTCCACGTGATTCCCACAGCAAAACATGGCGGACGTCGAAGAAAGATTGGAGTTGCCAAGTTGTCAGACTACGATTGACCTTGCATCACCCAGAGATGGAACGCCAAATAGCTTCTGTAGTACACCAGAGTTTGAGATAATAGGGAGCGAGAGCTGTTTAGTAAACAATTCAAGACAATCCCCTAATCGCCAAGGTTCTCCTGCGTTCATTTCGTCAGAGACAAGCGTATCTAACGAAACTACCACTACTTTGATACGTCCCAAAATTAAAGGATTAGACAATTTAAAAGGACCATCTGCAGGAGTAGACTTGAAGGAGTAAGTATGGAAATCTACTGATTTTGTTTTCAGCATTTGTGGAATCAGAGTACCAGTTAAAACCCATCGCATAGCCGTCACGCTATTTTAGCTCTCACGCACGGCAATTGACCAGAATGCCGGACCGTTGCTAACATGGTTTCCATTTTTTACTCTTATTGATAGGACAAAGAGAGAAGGATCTAAATCTTCTGTAAATAAGGATGAATGTGGCGTAGAATGCAAGTGGATTTCTTGTCATGTTATTTTAAAAAACGCTTTTGAATTATCAGAACACGTCAAGACTGCTCATGTTGAGCCTATGTCTAAACATCAAGACGTCTTCGTCTGTTTGTGGGAAGGCTGTAAAGTGTTTGACAAACCGAGTTTATCACACACGTGGCTTGCGAAGCATGTAAACGTTCATACTGGTGCAAAGCCTTTTAAGTGTATGATAAGTGGATGCTCTATGACATTTTCTTCGAGAGAGGGTCTCGCCAGACATGTGCCGTCGCATTTTAACGACGCTAAGCCGACAAAAAGACAAAAGTCAGATAATGATTCCTCGCCCAAGAAAGTAATGAAAAAGAAGAAGAAAAAAGTGAAGATCCTTCGGCAGGAAAAACCACCACCTCAAGGTTAGTTTGATTTCTTAAGTAATCTTCTCTAGAGGAGAGTTTTAACCCTTGACATAAAGAAAACCGTCTCCATCTTATATCTCTCTGTCATTTGAAACTGGCCACGCAAGTTTTATCGGGGATTTTAAAGATATATCATTTTTATAACATGGCTTTACAAAAGTGTGCACTCTGATTGGCTCATACACTTGATCCATTTGCCCATGGGTTGCACGCTGACGTCAGTTTGTTTTGCTTTTTCTTTTTCATGGCAACTTTTTTGTCGATGTTGCCACTACACACAACATAATTCCTGTTTTTTGTAGGTATTTTGCTCGCGAAATATGGACAAATTTTGTGATTTTTCTGGAGATAAGGAAGATAATTCTTGTGAGCTGCCAAATTTCGAGCTCATGGTTTTTGTCGGGTCTCCAGCTTAGAGTTTGGGATTTGCGAACTTGAGCGAGCAGGAGCTTAATCAGCTGGTTGAACAATGAAATATTTGTACATGAAACGAAAGATGTTTGAAAGTGTCAGTGTTATAAAAGAAATGGTTAGCATGCAGTGTGCAACCATCGAGTTATGGATGCACTTGGGAGGTTTGCTAAGCACAAAAGAAGCTAGAGTCGCACTCGGCTATCATCTCATGCGACTCTTACGCTTCTTTCGTGCTTAGAAACCTCCCACGTGCATCCATAACTCGATGGTTGCACGCTGCACGCTAACCATTTCTTAAATAAACTAAGATAAAGTGTCAGAAATACGACATTTTGAAATTGCTTTTAAAAGGAAAGTGCAACTGTATGTAGGTTTCTCAAGAGAGCATCATCATTTAGTTGATCTCTTTAAATTTTTTATATAAATGGCAGCGATATGTAAGCTGCCGAACATATAACTTATAGAAACACCTGTTCTCAGGTTCAAACAAACATTTAAATTATTTCAAAGGTCTCTGTTGAATGAACTCTAAGGCCCATCATTCTCTTAGACTCAACCCCAGTAGGTAACAGATGTATTATGAAATTAGATTGACTGCTTCTTAATTTTGCAGCATTTCAATCAGTTGAGCATTCAGCTGGAATGCCCTTCCATTTTCAAAACCATTGTTTACTGATTACATTGGGAAAACTTTGGTAGATTGAATCATAATTGATAAAGTGTACTTTGTTTGGCTAAACACATTGAACAAAAATGTATCAAAGGTTTTAGGAAATTTTAAAGAATGTAACTTCTGCAGGGAGCAATTGAAGTTTTATTTAGTGGAGTAAACTGTGTGTTATTTTATAGAGGTCAAATTAGGTGATTAAAGTGCAAATTAGATTTGACACATGTCAAATAAAACTTAGCTCTTGATCATTTTGTAACTTTAACAGTTAAGGAGGATTTCATTGACCAGCATGCAGTAAGCAGTATAAAAGACAAGTTGCCACACGTGATGCCTGTGTCATGCTACAGACTTGGCATTGATGGTGCAAGCATTGTCTTTCAGAGTAAGGTTAGTATTTCATCCTTGTCCTGGAAGCCGATGGAGACAAAGAAATGCTTTTGCTTCAAGTTTTGATGTTGTGTTGGGAAAAGGTAATTTATGATATTGAAGGATGAAAAGATTGAAGTAAAGGAAAACAAACTGGAATCCAGGGTAAAGTTAAACCTCAACATAAACAACAGCAGTGGGAGAGGCTTTCAGATGTAGTTGGCCTTACTTTGGTATCTTTCTTGTTTCCTTTAGCAGAAACTTTATCTTCAGGGCTTGTGTTTGCCAAAAAAAAGCATGAAATGATCATCAGTAGCTAGAAACTGTCAGGGAAAGCTTTCAAAATAGTTGCAAAGTTTGGGGGCTGTGCTAAAATGAACCTTTGTCTTTTCTGCTCATAGCTGTTGGCAGAGGTCATTTTGTTCTTTAAGGATTTAGGATAAACAGCAGAGAAAGATATACCTTTTTTGTTATGAATTTTTAAGGTTTTCTTATCATGTGTACTTTTCAACTGCATTCTTAAGCTTAAAAATGAATGAATCAGGAATCACTTGAATGAATCAAGTGATCTATGACAAATAAATAACTGGAATACATTTGACTTACTTCTGGATTGCAATGTTACTTCAGGAATTCCTTTAGACTTTAGAAAGCTGTAGAGACCGCTCTTGAAAAGGGGGATGAGAAGGATCTGGTATGTCTAACCTCTTTGGACAAAAGTTTTGTTTACAAAGTATGTTGGATTCATGGATACTCTTGGAGTAATTTGTGTGCAGAAGAACATACATTACAGGATTTTGTTTAGAACAGTGGATAAGTAGTTGTAGTTTTCCAATTATTTAGTGGCCTTCTGGTAAATTGCTGTGTAATGCCAAATTGTCAGAGCCTGGAAAGAGAGAGAAAAAGGAAAGTTTAATTTTACCTTTACATTGGAGAGCTAGTAACATGACGGGAAATAAACTATTATTTGTGTTAACTTTACAATATACCACAGGTTCTTGGGAGGAGAACAGAAGAGAAGTCCGGAGAGGAAGATGTACTACTGAGATGGCTGCCAGAAGATATGTAAGTTAAGTAGTTAGTGGTGGTAATAGTGATAATATGTTCTTCATTTAATTGAAATTGATCGCCCTTACAATTCTTATGATTAACTGTTGATATTAAGCATCACATAGTTGAACCATTTTCAGATTCAAGCCAGGTGATAATGTAAGCAAGGTATTTAACAAGTAATCTCTCATAATTTAGCAGAGGCACTTGAACTTAAAAATAAAAACTACTTCTCAATTGAATTTCTGTGGAAAGTATCCAGTAATTTTTTTCGTAGATATTATGTTGTAAAAGTTGTGAGGAGTGCCTCCTCTTATAAAAGCATCTTTTTTTTCTTCTTTTTTAAGCATTGAGTTGTTTTTAAATCTGTGTCACATACACTAAAAGCATGAAGTTGCTAGGACATTTTAGGGAAAACAGCTGGATTGATCTCTTTCAAGCTACATATCCTTGTTTTGTTTCCTCAGCGTGTGATATATACACTTTTTGTATGGTTTAATGATTTACAATGAAAGTTTTTTTCTGGGGTAACAAGGCCGAAATCTGAAATGACTCAATCTAATATTTTGGACCCTAAAAAATATGGCTGAAACTGAAAGGAAAAGAAGATAATTGCTCAATTTATATTTGGAAAATTGAGAAAAAAAAAGCAAGTAATTAAACAGTATAAGAGCGCGTCAGAGAGGCCCTTTAACGTTAAACTTTGCGACTCCAAGAAGAAAATGTTTTTAAATCTTTTATTAACAGACTACCAGATGAATGGGTTCCTTTGAATGAGGTTCAAAAGCACAGGACACGAACTGTACACATCTCCCAGCTCCCAAACGACGTGGCCGCTGATTTGGATCCCTCGTTCTACAGACAATTGTCACACAGAAAACACCACCGAAAATGATATTTACCGTTTGTTTACAAAGATCTAACCGCAACACATGCTCTTAAAGTAATGATACGCCTGTGCAAATTCCCCTTGACTATCAAAGCTAGCCCGGGTTTTCATTGCTTTCCCACTCTCATGGATTGCTTTAGGAAACTCGCAAGCACTCTTTCCACCAGTCATAATGCAAGACTAAAACCAGTCATGAATTTTTCAGTCGCGTTTTTCCCAAGATGAGGCTGGTTACATGTGTTTACTGTCAGTTCCCTTTAGGCCTCTGAAGTTCTGACACGTATCTGTGTTCTGGGTAGCCATTGTGAACACAGTCTTGTCGATAAAGGCTCTTAAAATTGTAAAATCCCCATCTCCTCTCTTTGCGGTCAAAGTTTTTCTGCTCGTGTATTTATAAACCTCTTTTGCGGATTATTTTTCATTACAAAGCTAGGTTTCTTTTATTGTTTGATATGACCGTCATTTGTCTTTGTCCCTAACTCGTCTTGCATTTTCTTTTTTTTTTTTTTTTGGAACAAGTTGCTTTAATGAGATGAACCTTCCTCCCCCATTATCAAATCTTTCAATGAGTAGCTGTAAAATTTCTGCTTAGATGTCATTGATTATGGCGTTAAAGGGGTAATTTCTCTTAAATGGTAGTTTAAGATACGTAGTCGTTTTCTCCCTCCCGGAACTAAGTTATTCTTTGGTTGCTTTGTGAAGCGTGTAGATCCACATTCTTTGTAAAAGGGCACTTCCGGTTAACATTCTTGGATGGGAGATTACTCCATCAGCTTCCGTAATGAAACTTGTAGAATGAAAGGCATGTAAATATTTATACAAAGGGAATATTGAAGTGTGGACAGGCGCCAGTATTTCGTTATCTCCCCTTGTGTTTACGCCAGGCTGCCTCAAAAGATTTTTAATCATAATGAATTAGCATAGCTCCTAGTTTATTGTACAGGCAGCACTGCGGCGTCGATAACTGCAGTACTGAAGTGAGTTCAATATCTATTTCTATTTATTTGCTGCAATATATTTTGTTCACACAAGAAAGAGTTTATGAATAAAGCTATACTGTACATACCTTGCTTGGGAATAAATATGCTATTGATCCATCCCTAGCTGGCATTTGATGCAAAGTTGTTCGATCATTTTAAAATGATTCACCCTCCAACTGAGAGGAGAGAGCATACCTATTTCAGTATATCGTAAGGAGCAACCACAATTCTCCCCTCCCCTCCCCTCCCCTTCCTCCCCTCCCTCCCCATGGCAACCGACGCCTCTTCCAGTACCACCGTTAAGTTAATTCACATGTCGAACTGGTTATTCCGATTAAATTAAGCATCGCCAAGTTCATATAACTAACGTTGTAAAGACCATGGTGTTAGAGGAAAGAGTTAAATTTCATCACACTCGAAGGAAGTTCGATGTACGACCGCGAGGATCTGAGAAGGAACGCCTCAAAGGGCCTTTCTTCGTTCACTCCGTTCAGTGAATGGCTAAGGTAACAAAAGTCAATCAAAACGACGTAGTAGCAAAAAATTGTCAAAAATGATAGATACTTGAGTTATTTTATTTTCTTGTTTGTTTACATTAAGCCATGCATCCGAGATTTCACAAGTGATTCTTTACTCCGTAAGCTCAACTTTTTAACAATGTCCCTGAATGTCAAATTATCATCAAATACACATCACTTTTTTAACTCGCAACTAACTTCGTTTTGATTTGACTAACTCCTAAATAACACACTTAAGAGTGACATTTACCAAAATAGCTCAAAGAATATAAAAAGCGTATTTCAAAGAAACTGTCTAAATAAAGAAACTACCTTGATTAGTTTTAGGCTTTAAAAAATCCTAAATACGTATGTATTTGGACGGAGCTCTTATTTTTTAGAGCAACGCCCCTGTGCAAGATACTTTATTTCCACGTCACTAAGAGCGTAATTATAAATGATAAATTCATCTACTAATCCAGATAAATAAGTCCCTGTATAAAAATGTCTTCCGATACCGGCAAAATGGCCCCAATCTTGAGAAAGATCACCGCTCGCAGATTTTTGTTTCACCATAACTCCGTTTACATAAACTTTCGCCAGCATGGCTGTGGAGTCATACGTCACTGCCACGTGTGTCCAGTTGCGAGCAGGAATGCAGGGAAGGGTGACGACATTGAACACTTCTTTGTCGTTTTCTTGGTGATGATACCAAACAACCTTCCCATCCTGCACTGCGAAGTGGTATTGGTCATGCTTGTGATCGGAATGGCTTCCAATTGTATCAAATATTTCGTGCTCTTTCCTATGTAAAATTCCAAAATAATTTACACTAAAAATCGCTGTTTTTAAAATCATTGCAAGGGTCAAGTGTGTAATAAGGATAGCTTTGTGATAAGGGTCACAATGGGGTGATGGCTTTTACGGCTAACTGTTAAAAGTTTGGCCATTCTACGGTTAACCCAAAATAACACATTGAAGAAAGGAAAAATTTTTACAGCCAACTTTGTTTTGCGACTAACGTTTAAAACTGCCAATTTTACCCCTAAAGGCTAACTGTTTTGGCTGTTTTAAGGCTAACAGTTATCTCCACTAAGACCCTCCGTGATTGAAGTTACAGAAAGGGAAAGTAAATGGGCCATTTTCGATAAAGTAGAATTTAAACTTGGCTCCGAGGCATGGGGGAATAAAACAAAATAAAATCACATCGAGGTTAAGAATGGATAACTGATTTCTTTTGTTTTATTCCCCCTAACCTCCGAGCCATTTTATATATCTTATTAACCAAGCGCGAGGGCCGTACTGGGAGAATATCTGCCCAAGGTCTTGACAGTACGGACCGAGCGCAGTGAGGTCCGTACAAAAAAGACCGAGGGCCGATATTCTTCCAGTACGGTCCCGAGCAAGCTTGGTTAATAAGAGATTTATTATACGACTGAAGTTCAAAGGGACACAAGTGCAGTATCATTCGGGACCATTCGAGAGAGTGCCCGGTCCAATACTTAGAGAATATTGGACCGACAATAGAGCATTTTGATTGGTTGATTTTAGTTATTGGCCCTCTGACTGCCCGAGTCGTGTAATAAAGAATATTATTACATGGAAAATGGCTTATTACCTTGAAATTCTTTTCAGTAGTAACTCATACTTTTGGGGAAAAGTTATCCCGCCTCCACCCAAAAAGAGAGAAAGCAGAAGGCGAAAATCTTAGGTATAAGGCCAATTTGAAAGTATTAAAAATTATGAAAAGAAGTTAACTTATACCTCTGTTATACCTCTCAGTCGAAGAGTAGCGGCCTCACCCCTCACCCACCCCCATCTTCCCCCTCTATTTATTGCGTTTTCCTTGCGACATCCCTGAAGATAAAAACTGCTCCAAGTTACTTATATCAAACCTGTTTGTTTGTAAGCTGATCCACACTGATATGGTTATTGCTTTTTGGGGTTTTTCCCTGAAAGTATCACCCGGTATTTTAATCTGTCCCATGGTCATATTAACAGCCTTCCCGCACGTTCCATTGTTTGAGACAGCTGTACCATTAATAGCCATGCCATTGTTTGCAAGCCCAGACTGGTCATACACTGTTTTACCAGCGAACAACTCGAACCCATAATGTAGCACTATTCTGTGGTAATTGCAAGTCTGAGCAAGAAGTGTTATTTCATTTGGTTTCAAGTCACGCTCAAATAAGTAGAACTCGTCGATGATGCCGTACAGATTGTTCTTCTCTATCCAATTGCCGTCAGAACCTTTTTCGTACTCTTTTCCGATGCTATTCTTTCCACTCCAGTCCTGGACAACACAAGAAAAGACAAATACAATCACGGCCCACTTTCATAAATGGCTGCCAGTTTAGTATTCTTTTGTTTAAATTTAAATTAGTCCTTCCGGCCTCGTTCTCCAGTAAAAAATTCAAAAGAATACATTATCTCGAGCTAGGCCAGAAGGGCTAATTTAAATTCAAACAAAAGAATACTAATCCACCAGCCATTTATGAAAGTGGTCTATTAGTCCTCCACTGTCTAAGTAGAGTGTTGAGCAATCTTACATACACTGGAATCAGAAATAATTAATCGTTATAACGTATAAAAGTTTTAAGTATTGGCAGAGGTGCCAGAACCAGAGGAAAAGTTGGCACAGAAGACCAGAGGAACAGTGGACACATAGAGCCAGAGAAACAGTGGTTACAGAGGACCAGAAGAACAGTGGGCACGTAAGACCAGAGAAACACTAAGCGCAGAGGACCAGTAGGCACAGAGGACCAGTATGCACAGAGGACCAGTAGGCACAGAGGACCAGTAGTCACAGAGGACCAGTAGGCACAGAGGACCAGTAGCCACAGAGGACCAGTAGCCACAGAAGACCAGTAGGCACAGGGGACCAGTAGGCACAGAGGACCAGTAGCCACAGAGGACCAGTATGCACAGAGGACCAGTAGGCACAGGGGACCAGTAGGCACAGAGGACCAGTAGTCACAGAGGACCAGTAGGCACAGAGGACCAGTAGCCACAGAGGACCAGTAGCCACAGAAGACCAGTTGGCACAAAGGACCAGAGAAACGGAAGGGACATGATCTTAACACCCAATCACAGAAAAGGTCAAGACTCCCTTGAAAACTGCTCCCACTCTTAAACAATTTAAGATCAACTTTAGCTTTCTGTCATACTAAGTCGACGGAGAGATCCAATATTGATCAATCATATCCTTGGAATTTATTTTGCAGAAAAACAAATCCATTGCGGTGTCAGTGTTTATTAGAATATTTTACTGATCTTTGTCTCTTGCATTAAAAAAGGATCAGTTACCTGTGAAAGAATTCCAGAGCCAGTAAGTTCCTGTTTTTTCAGCACCCCATTCACATATATCTCAGACTTCCCGCCCGTTGCGGTGTAGGTGCAACAGATATGGGTCCATGTTCCAGCTGGTACAACTGGTGAGCCTGTCTCGGCGCTGAACACAGTCTGAAAAAATAAAGAAAGAAAGTGACGGAAATTTCATCTTTCATACTCTCTCTGTAGCAAATGTTCTTCGGTCCATGACAGAGGCATATTAGGTAAGTTCCCCAATTTTTTTTTTTTTGCGGCTGACTGAAGGAAGTTAAGTAGCGATTCGTATAAGCGTACTTGTGACAGGCTGCAGAAAACTAAATTCGACGAAAGTGAATTCTGAAAGAAAAAAAAAAGCCGACAAGTAAAAAGCCTGCTCGATAGACCACGTACAAAAGTTTGGCCAATTGTTAGGTTACACTTCCTACGTGCACGCCAAGCAGACCTATGTTTTGAATAAAGCTTACCTGAGATTTTTCATTGCGGTGAAACCATCTGACTCTTCCGTCATTGATCATGAGTGAATAATACTGTCGTGTGTTCCACGGATTATCGGGATTGTAAGTGCTGAAGACAGACTGTTGACCGCGGTTGGTATCCAGCTTGAGCCAAAGCGCTATGGTCACACCAAACAGCGGTTTCCTAACTATTCGCTGTCCGTCAATCAAAATATTGCCTATGCCGAGAAGATGGGTGAATTGATTTACTAATGTCATCTTTTATTTGTACTCTTTTCATTTCATTCATAGCAACACATTGCAACTTAAACGCCGACATAGACATACCTCCAGTTAGTTTTAGTCCATTCCCACAAGTTCCACTAGTCTTTGTCACAGTAGCGAGGCTAGTCAATTCACCGTCATTCAGGCTACCGGAGTCATCAAACACGTTACTGCCTGACACACGATCAAATCCAAAGTAGAATACTTGACCAGTGCTCGCTGAAAGAGAAAATTTGACCTAGTATTAAAGTAATGAAAATCCTGAATAATAACAAAAAATGAACAAGGGCTTCGACCGTTTTCGAGTTTCTCTTAGGGGACCGGTCATTACTTATCTAATGCCTGGGAGGAGGGAGGGGGAGGTGGTGGTGGTGTTTGGAGGATTTTGGATGAGTCACATAACATTTACCTAATCCCCCATAGGGCTCTAAAAGTATTGCTATGTTCCCTCCTTCATGGGCAGTGAACTGGCACTGAACTTTCTATAGTCCCCCTCTTTATGCTCTGGTGGCGAAGATTGATCCCCCTCCGTTCCCCCCTAAAACCATGTGATCCTCTTCAATATCCTTCGCACCCCTCCCCTCCCCTCCCCCCTCAGGTGATAAATTATGACTGATCGTCAAGACATGCGAGACACGAGTTACGAAACACTTGTTTAAAAATACTTTGCTTTTATTTTCGTTCTTCCTTTCAAACAAAACTCATTAGCCCTTACCTGAAGGTGAGTGGTTTTATGAATCTTAAATGGTTGGTATCAAAGAATCGCAGAGTTATTGTTATCTGTATCGGCTAAAGATTGACGTAGAAGAAAAAGACGATGTAAAATCTTTTGAAAAGATATAACTATAGCTTTTGTAAATGAGCGACTCACGTGTTTTGGCTGATCCAAAATTGCAGTTATCATAGAGTGTTTTTACTTCGAATGGAGTCAACTCTCTGTTGTACATGTATATTTCGTCCAGTGTATCAACATCTGTGACAGTTCCTTCATGTTTACCAAATGCTGCATAGCTGTCCCAGTCTTCAGACAATCTCCCAGATGCAGGCCCTTGCTTGTTGAGGTTACCATTAACAAATACCTTAGCCTGGCTACTTTTCTCATTGTATGTTACTGCGATATGCACCCATTGTTCTGAGTTGGATAAGAATAATAAAAAAAAGATCGGAATATCGAAAAAGCTATTTAGGTCTTTGTGTAATTTGTGAGGTTGTGGTGAGGTGATCTGGTGTAATGAATAGAAGTTGGTAGGAGTCGAGATGCAAAATAAAGAAGCAAGAGACTGGGTACTATCTCTTAAAAGCTAGAAGTGCTTAAAAATGTTGCTTGAGTTGCCATCAAACAATTTTTCCACCCACCACTTTTTGCATCGTGCAACTATCGTATTCATTTGCAGATTTTAGCGCGCTTGCTTTTCAAATTTTGTCAAAATTGAATTTCCTTTGCGAGCGCCAGAAAATAGGTTTACACTTTACTGATAAACGCTGCAAAAAAATCGAGTAATATCAACGAATAAAAACAAACACCCAAAAACTGAGATGAAACAGCAAGATGAAAATCAAAGAAACAAAACCATACACTTACTCTCAGTTACGATAGGATCAGTGACAACTTTGAACAGTTGTTTATCATTTTGGTCGTTGTGACTCCAACTAATGGCTCCGTTCTCGATCATCAGAAGATACTGGTCGTGTTTGTGCGCTGAATGTCCACCAATCGTGTCGAACAAATAATGTTTCCCCTTAACCGAAGTGGCGTTAAACCACATCGCTATAGTTACACTGTCAATTGGTTTGTTCCGGAACGTTTTCCCGTCTAGTTTTATATCTGCTTGTCCCGCATTTAGTTGTGCTCCATTACCACAGCTTCCTTTTGCAGCTAATGAAAACAAAAGTTTCGAACAGATAGAAAGTGAATAACAAATTTTGACTGTCTCCGTAGTTATAATAATACTGATAAAATTCTTTTTTTAGGCTTTTAATGATTTAATTATAATGTAAGAAATAATTTAAAAGAAATAAAAAAATCTAGTTATAGTAATGCATGTGATAATTGCATTCAAAACCATATTAGTACTCTTTAAAACTAGTCTTAACCCGAAGGTGTTAACTTGAATATTTAATAAATTGAAATGGGTTGCTCCGCGTTGTTTCACTGATGAGTTATTTGTTCGCTGAAAAGAAGGAACAACGTGATGGGTCGTCCGTCTGAGTTCCCTCGATGATTTTCTCCGCTGACCCCTCCTTGGAGCGAGGAGATTGAGGGATTTGTGTGTCCGCCATACTTGTCTTGATAATGAGCCATGCGTTGATCGAAGACGACAGTTCAGAAGGCGCACAGATCAATCCTGATTTCCTGGTAAGCCTATCATAAGAGCGTTCATCTTCGGAAGGGCGTTACTAAAATCATGTTATCCAAGGAGGAAGCGTTACCTTTTTCAAATAATTTACCAATCACAACAGTGATTCGCTTGTTTTAGGTGGCTAAATGTATTTTTTTTTCCTTACAAATTTCATTTTTACCTTGATAGAAAATAAGATAGCCACGGGAAATTATATTTCCCTACCATTAAGAAACATGTTTATCTTTTTCCACAAAGCCTTGGCATCATTGTAAACTAGAAAAGAGTGTTTTAAAATAAAATTGGAATTTAATATTCCACTAACTTCTGAAAAGGCCGTAAGAAAAAAACCGATATTATCATCGCTTCTTTGAATCTCATTTATAGTTGTAACTAAGCATTGATTAATTGCACTTACGTGGAGGAGGAGCAGGTTTCGGTTGGCCTGGTTGCAAGGGCGGCCCGCCAACCTTTGCGTGGTTCATAAGCCCAGAGTCATCCAGAAACGTATCACCGGTTTTCCTGTCAAAGCTCAGATGTAACACCATGGTGCTTTGCGGCCCTTGGCACTTTTTAATAAGCGTTTTTAGCTCAGGTTCTGCCAGAGTCCTGTTGTATATGTAAAACTCGTCCACATAGCCCTCCAAGCGACCTTTTCCGCCATAAGAGCCGATCCCTGTATATGAGAACAGGTAAAAAATAGTTAAGCAAGTTGTGTAATGAATAAAGGTGGTAAGTTTCTAAAGAAACTGTGGTGCTGCGTCGGTGGGGGTAACAAGGTAATTTGGCATAGTAATATCAACTAAGTTGAAATTGTAAATTGGCCACCGTAAATAGTTAAAAAGCTGACGTTTCGAGCGTTAGCCCTTCTTCAGAGCGAATAACGAAGGGCTAACGCTCGAAACGTCAGCTTNTCTGATTTATCACTTTCACGGGTTTATTACGAATCAACTTAACGGCCTGCTCCCAGTTGGCTTGTTAGCTCAATTGGTAGAGCGCTGCACTAGTATCGCAGAGGTCAGTGGTTCGAATCCCGTACAGGCCTGATTTTTTTCAGGTCTGATTTTCGCTATTGCTTAAATAGCGCTATCTACTGCGAGGATCGTTCACCACATGTATCTAATACCGCAGTTCAAAATGTATGAACTTCATATATTTTTCATTGTATCTAATTTCAACTTATTTGATATTACCAAATTAAATTGCATAATGAACTGTTTTACAAGTTATAGACACAAAATAATTGTACTGAACATGCGTGTTTAAGTCCTTTTCCCTGTTTATTAGAAACCTATCATATAACCAGAATATAAACGCTGAAATGAAATCAAAAATTTTCCAACAAACAAAATTTTACATTGAATTTTTAATCTTCCATGCCGTGTCCCCCATACAATGTTGTACACAAACACATCAAGTCTCCCGGATATGAAGTGAACGCTGTTCGGGATACTTAGAACCCAGAGGGCCTAAAGTGTGACTTTGTTAGTCAAGAGTGAAATTTGTCTAGCGTACTCAACGTCCTCGTGAGAATCGCAAAGACCTACCTTGCGTGCTTCATCTCGCGTGCGAAATCATGAATTTGACTCAGTTCTTTACAATAAGTGTAAAATCATTGGGCCACTTAACTTCCACTTACCTGCATATTTAGACCAGTCTCGAGACAGGAATACACCGGGGTCAGCGGTTTCCTGTTTTCTAAGTTGACCATCTATATAAATCTTAGCTATGCCCCGAAGACCGTCATACATTGCGGCTAAATGGTACCATTTTCCACCGGATAACACAGGACCGTCTGTAATAATACTGAACACCGTGGAACCATTTTCATTCCGGTGAAACCAACGTACCCTGGCGTTTTCAGCTTGTAGATCATATTGGGCTGAATTAATAACAATTAAGTTAGTTATATATAACGTCCCCAATTTTTGGCATTTTAGATTTACAAGCAGAGAGTTACTTACGTTCCTCATGATTAGATCTGGGAGGTCCTCCAACAGTCTCAAAAAGATCTATTGTCCCAGATGCGTCCTTTAATTGTACCATCATCGCAATAGTAACTTCAATGTAAGGAATTCCTGTATTGGGGAGCAACAATCTTTAATAATTTGGTGACATGTCATGTGGATGCGTATGCAAATGACTCTCGAATATTGGAAGCTGTCATAAGACTCGGCTATTTTCGTGAGCGAGCAAGGTGTGTTCACTTTTCCATTCCTCCATCTGTCTTCGTACCAGTCAAACAGTCAGTCAACCAGCCAGCCTGCCAGCCGGTTGGTCGGTCAGTCACATGAGGCGAGTGGCCCACACTGCCGGAAAGTAGCCGGAAGTGAACGGAAGTACGTAAGTAGCCGGAAGTACGTAAGGCAACTTTACCTTGAATGACTTGCAACCCACAGTATGCTACACTTCAGTCCCAACCCCCACCCAACAATTTCATGACTCTGTTATGATAGTGTGCTCTTGCGTGAAGAAAGAAATCATGAAAGGAAGCTAAGGAAATACCCATGTTTATCTTGTTTAAAATGTACATGATAACTGATCTCATAACCATGTATTTCAAATTATAACTCACCGACGAACTTTGATCCGTCTATGATAATCTGTCCCCCAGAGTGTATCTTGGCACACTTGCCACAGCTACCTGCTGCTTTATCCAATTGGACTTTCTTGAGAGTTGCGTTGTTGTTGTGCGATGAATCATCGTACAGGCGTTCTCCATTGAACCGATCAAAACCAAGGTAGTATACCTGATTATAATCCTCTGGAAGACAGGAATATAAATAAGAATTCTAGGAGCAAGGAAAAGAGAGTAACGCCTGTAGCCTTCGGCTGAAGCTAATCTCACAAGATCGCCGGATTCATGGTCTATTGCCGAAACTTTTTTTGTATCATAAACAACCAGGTCAGACGTGCCTTTTTAAAGTTGTATTTCCTCTTTTACGTACAAAAAAAAATTGCATTCAGCATTCAGTTTGACCGACCAAGTCGAGTTGGCGGTGAACTATACCAAGGATAACTGCTGTACTATAAACTAGTTAGCGGGGCTATAAATTTTCTTTTTCAAACACGGCAAGAATTATTTGGTTTGTGGCCAACACTTTCAAGATCAATATCATTCCGTACGAATTAAGAAATCTTTTGACCCTTTTTTTTTTACTTTTGAGGAATGTTTTTTGTTGGTGTGTGTGTGTGTGTGTGTGTGTGTGTGGGACCCATTCAGCATTTACTGCCATATGCGCAAGCCTTACAACTGACCAAGATTAATACAAGAAGTAACTCACGTGTCAGTCCAGCCCATGTGACAATGACACCTGCCAATAACAAGAGACAGACACCTCTCAAGTGCATGGCTGGAGAGTGCCTTCTTTAGATCCCTCCACCTTAATGAAGTAGAAATGAGAGAAAGGGAGAGAAAGTGAAAGAGAACGATAGAGAAAAAAACACCATAACTGTAAATAAAATTGAATTAGTTGGTTTTTTTTTAAGAACATTCAAGAGAGTACTAGGTTAAGACATATTAGAAACGTTGCGGACGCGTGATGGCTATCTTTGAGATATCCTAACTGCAACTCTGAGAGATTCACCGGTAATGCGCAAACCGGTGCGTTAATGCAGTCTAGCTGACTGGGACTAATAAGTGATTTTTTTTTGCTGTGGTTCTACAAAGTGGGTCGTAGGCGGCTAAGGAACTTAAATGTCTGTTATTCGATTAACTTACCCATCATTTTGGAGAAACCTTGAAAAAACCCTGCCTCGGAGGCTAGTTTAATCGGCTTTTACAAAACCAATCGCTTATCTAGAAGTACCTCTATCATCTTTCAGACCTTTACCCACTTTTTGTTTCGTTAGAGTAAAGGCTCTGTTTGTTATCATGTAGTTCAGTCACAACTTTACCCTCCCCCCTTTTCCGCCAATTTCGGTAAGGGGAGTACGTACTATTTAGGCCTTTAGAACTCCATATTTGGGAACAATGTGTATTGGTTATGGCGCGCAGTTTCTTAATTGGGTTGGTTGTTGGCGCATTATATGATAGTCCTAAAATTTTGTAATTTCTCACAAATATGCCGGTCTTGGAGAAAAATTATAGTAGAACGAGTCGAACAGGGATTCTCGCGTGAGGATAAGGCAAAGTTTGTGTTGAAGGGGAAGAAAGGTGAAGAGGATGTAGTTCTTGTAAAAATCGTAACTATGTTTCCTTATAAGCTAACGGCGTTCCAAGCGATTCCATAAGAACACTCAAATAGTGAAAGATTAGTATTTTTTTGTAAAGCATTAAGGACATCTTGTGCGGAGTAAAAGGAACGAACTTGCATGTATGTAAAAAGTGCAGGTTGAGTTCTCAATAAACAATATAACCACAGGAAATCACGTCGGGTGCCCTAAAGTTACGTACGGTAAGAAATAAAGCTTAAGAATTGAATAGAGCTATTAATGTTTATCAAGGAAATGTAGGTAAAGAAACGACAAGATGGGTATCTATCCAAAGTTAAGGCACTAACGAAAATTGATATCAATAAGTCAGAGGATAAAAATCAGAACTTCACAAAAATGACCTTCCCAGCAAGGGTAGTTGTACCCCTGTAAAAATACCAAGCTGTTTACTCGCTTGAAGGAAACAAGACAACATAAGTTCATCTCACCTTTTAAGAATACATCAACGCGCTCGTAATATGTTCTTTTAAGTCAGTCATGTTGGCTCTAGAATCGCCATCTTTGACCTCAAACAAGGGCTCTCTGAAGGCATGACGTCATAGTTTTGGATTGCACGTATTAATCCCTTTACAGAAAGACGGGTGTCGGTGTTGATAGTTTAACGAACAAAACAACACATGCAAGACAGGTTCATTTCATTCAACACACGCCAGGAACATCTTAAAGAAAAATTGAAATGTGTTCAATGCGTGCGAATTTTCCTATACAAAGTGTTGAATAAAACTGAAGGCTTGTGCTATGTTTAGTTTGTCATAATTACATCTGCTTAAAGGAAACATATAATAGTATATTGATTCATTGGGCATGCGCAGGGAAGGCCTATTTTATAGGGAGATATGAAATGCTTTTAGATCAGAGATTTAGATATAGATAAGGCCTTTTTACGAGACAAGTGGCCCATCGGGCAAGTGTTTAAATCCCGCCGTTTCCGTAGCATGAAGTGCGACTAGGATTATTTCTACTCCACCTTGGATGGAATGCTAGTCCATCGCAGGGCTACCCCCAGCATTGAATTCGCTGGTATCCATTTATACACCTGCAGCTGGGTGAGGAAGGGCACTGAGAGAATAAAGTGTCTCGTCCAAGAACACAACACAATGTCCCCGGCCAGGGCTCGAACCCAGACCACCCGAGCCATCGCGCCTCCCATAGATTTAGATAGAAGAAGATATCAATTAAAGGCGTTGAGCTTCTCTTGTACTCAAACAAAAAAGTGTTGGGTTATATTTCGGTTGTGGCGAAGACACAAGACACAATGCAAATGTGTTTGCGAAGTCTCAAAGTTTGAGGTACAAACTTGAATAATAGGAGCTATAGAGACTTCATTGACTTGTTCAGACATGGAAAAATAGTCCCATCAACGAGGGGACAAAAATAAAAGCAAAAAACTGAAAAAAAATTGGGTTAGGGATAGAGTTCAAACATTAGTCAAGAGTACGAGAGAAAGATCCAAATTTCCTTTGAGGACAGTTTGTATGTTGAACATTGATTTACTGAAAATTACAAAAAAAAATATTGAAAAATTGTAAAAAAGTAGAATTATTATGAGAGCAACTGTAGAAATAAGGTACAAATTATGACCAGTTCGTTTTTAATATTTAGCGAAAACAAAATTGAGCACTGCAGCCTACCAACTTGACTAGCGTCCTTAAAAATAGTATTGATCTAAACAAAATTATGCTTCTTTTTTGTTGCTCTAAAGTAAGTGTCGACTAACAAACCGGCTGCCAATCATTTTCTTAGGCAAGCAGCTTCTCTATCTGCAATTGACACTATTGAAGCCAGTGTGCTCATTAGGAATGTTGGTTGGCCAGTTAAGGTGTTTCTTGAATAACAAACAGTTAACAATAACGCAAGCTATAATGGCTTTTTTTTCTTCATTTCCTCTTGCAGCTGTCGAATTGATTTCAATATTACAGGGGCCACGCATAGTAAAGCTAAGCGGTTTAGGAAGCCATTAGCTGTCTAATGATCAATGTTATCCGTGCGCTATCCTTACTGCAATTTAGGTAGGTTCTTGATTTAATCGTCTTTTTTCTTGAAAAAAGATATTGATTATTTGGGTTTATTTTTACTGGTTAAGTGAGTAATTTTGACGGAAGGTTGGGAGTATAAATTGGGAGTATAATGGCTTTTTTTCTTCATTTCCTCTTGCAGCTGTCGAATTGATTTCAATATTACAGGGGCCACGCATAGTAAAGCTAAGCGGTTTAGGAAGCCATTAGCTGTCTAATGATCAATGTTATCTGTGCGCTATCCTTACTACAATTTAGGTAGGTTCTTGATTTAATCTTCTTTTTTCTTTGCAAAAAGATATTGGATATTTGGGTTTATTTTTACTGGTTAAGTGAGTAATTTTGAAGGAAGGTTGGGAGTATAAATTTGTAGTTATGATGTATGATCGAGTTGGCACTCACTGGGAAGTGACTATCGGAATTCTCATTTTCAGTCTCAATACTCACACAAAATGTGGAGGCGAGGTGGCCTCATGGTTAGTGCGCTCGACTCCGGATCGAGTGGTCCGGGTTCGAGCCCCGGCCGGGGACATTGTGTTGTGTTCTTAGGCAAGACACTTTACTCTCACAGTGCCTCTCTTCACACAGGTGTTTAATTATAAATGAGTACCGGCAAAATTAATGCTGGGGGGTAACCCTGCGATGGACTAGCATCCCACCCAGGGGGGAGTAGAAATACTCTTAGTCGCTTCATTCTACAGAAACCAGAGTTAAGCACCGGCCTGATGGGCCACTAGGCTCGTAAACAGACTTTACCTTACTCACACAAAATAGCTTAGTTTGGATCCAAGAACGCGAAAGCAAGAAAATGACTCCTTCGACTCTCATTAAGTGCGGGTTAAACTAAATGATGCTATTTTTAATAAACACTGCTCTGATTAGCGATGCATTTTTGTCTGAAACCTTTAGCTTTAGGGGTACGCTTTTCATATGTTACTTTTATTCCGTGATTCCATGGCCAGGATTCCATCCACCGAATTGCTTCAGTTTGACTGTAAGCTTAAAAGCATCACAGAGCGAAACTGACAATAATTTTTAAGTGTTTCAATGAATCGTTTAAATTTACACGTTCGGATGTACGACACGGAGAACATTTGACTAATGAACTCTGTAATGAGATGCATT